GGTTCAGTTATAGTCCAATTGCCCACTTTTAGGTGTGATTGTGTGATGCATTTATTGGTGTGGTTGCCTGGTTGGTTTTATATGAATTGGTCCAACATATTTTTTTTATTTACGGGAAAATCTGTCGTCACTACTTGAATATGCGTATTAAATGAAACTTGTCTTGTAATATTAATGGTTAAAAGATCACACGAAGATTAATTAGTTTATGTTGTCCATAATTAACAGGTTCAAATTAATCAAGAATATCAATAGATAATTGATTATGAATATGTTAAAGCTAAGTATGGAATTAGAGAGAAATGCTCAAGAGGTTTAAGGTAAATGAGGATATGTTATTGCCTTGTTTGGTAAATGACTGTTAGCTGATTGGGCTAATTAGAGAGTATAACTAGTTGATAACATTAGCTGATTGTAGAAAAGTGTTTGGTAAATTAGTTGTTTGTTATAATTTCTTTTCTCAAAAAGTTAATTGAAAATGTTGCTTTGAGTAGCTTTTTGAATTTTAACATTTTGGAGTATAAAAAGCTAATTAATCAAATATTTATATTAATTTTTAAACCAAATCAAACAACTAATAGTGATCAAATAAGTCAAAATTGACCTATAGACTAACTATTTTATTAAACAGGGCCATAAAACTAACCAACTTATAGTTGATCGGTTCAAACTAAACAGATCAAGAGAATTAAATTTAGAATCTTGTGATTATCAATTTAACTTTCAACTCAAATCAAGAAAGTTACAAATTAAAAAGTTTAATTTAGAATTTTGTAACTATTAAACTAGATGTGTAACTAATCTATAACTACTCATTATAGTGTCATATGCCCCTCCAAGCCAGATTCAACCAGAGTAAAGTATTATATTCCATTTTAAAAAAAACTATAAATTGACTACGTAATCCCTTATATCATATAGAGAAGAGTGCAGACTTTTCAAATAAGATACGGAGTAGTGTTAATTATCAGTAGAAAAGGCAAACATCACCTTCACGGCTACACTAGCTTGAAACAACTTCTTTGTTCAGTAACTTTAATGAGAGTTGTCTGGACTGTTTTGTCCTATCTACTTCACGACATGTTCTTTAGACAATATTAGGTAGCATCTCATCTACCTTCTTGTTCTTGCTATTTCTTCTTCTGTTGAGATTAATAAGAACAAGAAAAATAATAATGGCAGTAAAGGGTAAAGAAGACAAGATTTACGTGGTTCGATAATGTGCCTACATCCACGGGAGTGAAACAATATTCTTATTCATAGTGATGGTGATGATGGTGACACACCCCTTTAGGGATACAACCAATATATTTATAGGCACCCCTTTCACTCCTACTCCTAGTATGAGACAAACACTTATTCCTAATCCATATATGAGACAAACTCAACAATTTCTGTAAAATAAGCCATCCCATTAGTTTATAGAGGATTATTTTTTTTCATTAGTTGTTTTAACTTATTAGTAGTGTCTTCTTTCAAAATGTTAAATCATTAATTCGAAACACCCTACATATCTGTTAGACAGAGCTTACTGAACTATTGAGTAAAGTTCGTGCTGGCTAAAAAGTGTTTAGCTATTTAGTATGAAAGGCAGAAATTTTATTCTTGAAAATTTATTTTGTAATTTCCAAAATGCCAAAATACATGAGAAATGATCAAAAAGTATCAGCCATAATATTAATTATTGTTTCCGTTTTTCCTCAACTCTTCCAGTAAAGAGCACAAATCAGTGTCGGATGAGCCGCCTGGTTCCACTGCTTTCTTGGCCATGTTTCCTAAGGCGATCGCGCGGCTTCTCCTTTCCTCAGCTTCTTCTCCGATCATTAGTTCCTTCACCGCTATCTCTATGTTTTCTCGGTTAATGGGTGCCCTGCTGTCTGTTCTTCTTGTCCACGCCTGAGCACCAACCGGAACTCCGATCTTCAGAATCTGTGTGACCATCTTTTCGTTAAAGAATTGCTCGGCAGAGAGCGGCCATGTGACCATTGGCACTCCGGCGGTTACTCCCTCCAGCAAAGAATTCCATCCGCAGTGAGTCACGAATCCTCCCACCGCTTCGTGATCGAGGATGAGCACCTGAGGTGCCCATCCTCGAATGATCAGACCTCGATCTTGCATCGTTTCCTCGAATCCTTCCGGCATCCACTCCTTCATTTCTTCCTCTTTCATGTTTTGCTTTACAACCCATATGAACGGCTGGCCGGAGGCTTCAAGTCCGGCTGCTATCTCGCGCAGCTGCGCGGCGGAGAATATGGACATGCTCCCAAAACAAACGTACACTACTGAATTGGGGTTTTTGGAGTTGAGCCAATTCAAACACTCTTCTTCCCCAATCGACGCCGCTTCACCTCTCTGGGATTTTTCACCCTCTTCCTTGTTGCACAAGGAAACTGGACCGATGTGCCATGACTTTTTCCCCATTACTTCCCTGCAGTGTTTTACATAAGCCGGTTCTAGCTCATAGAAGCTGTTTACAACCATCCCATAGCTACCTTCTTCTTCTTTCCTGAGTTTTTCCAGAAATTCTTTAAAACTATTTTCTAAATTGTCTTTCAGCGTCTCTGGAATCTGCTGTTTGGTTGTTGTCAGGGTGTCCGGAAGGTCGGGGATGACGAATTCTTCAGTGTCGGATTCAATCTTCTCGTGAGGTTTGTGGCGGTGGAGACTATTATGCACACACAGGGGAAAAAACCCAGTTCCCCAGAAACTCAGCCTTGGGATCCCAAATTTGGCCGCGAAATCATTGCTCCATGTGTACATCGGGCCTGCTACGATACAGTCAGGGCGGTCCTCCGCCGCGAGCCGCTCAATTGGGCCCTGGAAATGATCGAGGGCGTTGAAGAAACTGAGGGTCTGCTCCAAAGTCGTGGTGGCGGACAGATCCTCGCAGCCCTCCGGCAGGCCGGATTCCTTGTACGGAAATTCCAGTAATCGGATGCTTATTTGGCTTCCGAGTTGTCTTTCTCGGTCGATGGCTTTGGAAATCTTGGCTGCGTTTAAGGGTGTTGTGAGAAAAGTTGCCTTCACGCCATGCCTGGCAAACTGCCTAGCCAAGTCCACCATTGGAATCATGTGGCCTGGAGCCATCATAGGAAGAAAGTAGACATGGAGAGGGGGAGATTGGGTATCCATTTTGTTTGTCGGTTGAGAAATTTCACTGCGGGCTTTCAAGTATGGTGAAATCAAGAACTGAAGTAGTTATAATAATCTATCATAACCGCCCAAGTTGACAAGATGCCATTGTTGACTGTTTGTACTTTGTATGATGACATATTCACATGTTTTGATTAATCTTCTTGAATATTTGCCGTGCAAGACACTTCTTTGTGGCAAAAGGTGAAATTACTCACTCTAATGGCTCGTTTGGTTCAAAAAATAGGTCAGGAATGACATAACATTCCCAGTAATAGGCATATTCCTTTGTTTGGTAATCATTTCTATTACCAGGAATAATATTCCTGGTAATAGCCTATTGCCTCAAATAAGGTAATAGCTATTACTAGGGCCTCCCATTCCTATTCAATTCCTTATGAAATAGCATTCCTATTACCTCAAAATTCATTCTGTAAACCAAACGTGCTGTAAGTGTCTCTAAATATGATTTGACTTTTTGTGAAAAGATAAATTATAGAGTCTCTCATTTTGAGAAGTTACTTTACATTGTCACTAGTAAAACTTGATTCTTGATTTCTTGAAATACCCAGTATGATACTACTTTTAACCAAGTCAATTGTAATTAACTTAAAGTCTTGCTTCAGTTGCAATGTGGGATTCATATTCCATAAAAAGGGTGGGATTATTGGATCCTTTTTGCGCGGGGTATATTGATGGACTCAGGGGGCGGACCCAGCATGGAGGCAGCTGCCCCCACTCACCCCACCCCACCTCATATATAACCCCCGTATGTATATATGTATATATAGTACAAGTTTTAGTATAATTATAATAAAATACATAAAAGTAAGTAAAAGATGTCTGGATCAGGTGGCAAGGCGCGCTTGATATCTTTGTTCAAATCCTTAGTGTGCAGATTTATTTTGTATTATTTAGGTGGCGGGTGGCAAAGGGTTCATGTTGTATTTTTATGACTTTTAAGTACTTTGTATTAATTAATTGTGAGAAAAATTTTGTATTAATTAATTGTGAGATTTACACACACATATATATATATATAACTTTATTTTATATTAATAATGAGATGTGTTTATAATGTATTTTTTATTCGAATTATTTTATCAAATTAATTATGTTTCATATTTTGTTATGAATATTTTTTATAAAGTTTTGATGTGTTTTATTTTTCGTCACATCCAACATTATTTATACCTATACTTTTAAGTATTTTATTTTTCTGGATGCGTTTCGCCCCCGCTGAAAAAGTTTTCTGGATCCGCCACTGGATGGACTCCACATGCATGCACATCACCAAAGGCTCCCATCACAAGAGATGGAAGCTTCATTAGTTTTTGGGAAACAATATATTTTCTCATTATTCTTACCTTTTGTATTCCATAATTCTTGCCATTGTTGGCTGTTTGTATCACTGCTGGAAATCTCGCGTTTTCCGTCCAACAAATATGTTGGACGGAAAACGCGATATATTGGTCGAAAACGACGTTTCCATCCAACATACCGACCAAAAGGAACGTTCGGAAAAACCTCCGTGGAAAATTCCGTCCAACTACGACTTTTGGTCAGAAATAGCGTCCAACGAACAACAATTGGACGGAAATTCCGGCAAGTACCCCACCATTTTTAAAACGTGGGAATTTCCGTCCAACCTTGTGCGTTGGTCGGAAATTCCGTCCAATTATGTGCGTTGGTCAGAAATTCCGACCAATGTTGGACAGAAAACTCACATATTATATTTTGTAATTTTCCTTCCAACGGTTGGTAGGAAAATCTTAAATCATATGAAATGTTTTTATTATTTTTATATTACCAAAATTTTATTTATATCTATTGTAAATAAATTATATGTAATCAACAAATTATTGGACACACTAAATTTCAAATTGAAAATATATTTAAACATCAGAATTCTTTACAACAAAAATTATTGTCATGTTCATAAAAAAAAAAAAAGTCATGAAAATATATACTATACTTAATTGATACTACTTAAGTATGCTGCACCCAAATAAGCCTTCAAATCCGGCACTACTTCAATGGCTTTGATCAATGCAGCATCCACAACCTTCTTCAATGACTTTGATCAAATGTAGACCTTCACCAAAATTAGACCGTGATAGATTTCAAAATGCAAAAATCATACAGAAAACATAAACAACACTTGGAAAAACAAACTTAGAAGTATTTTCTCTCTTGCAACTGCAAATGATCCAGCATCAACAAAATCATCATAAGCAACCTGAGATAAACATTTCATCAATTAAACTTGAAATGCACCACCATCCATCAAAAGCACCCATACATGTTAAGGATATTTTCATTAAAATAGCATTATTTCCACTTTATTGTTTTAGTCTACTACTATAAAGAAGGCTAAGTGATAGAACTTGACCCCTACCAACTACTATAATTAAAATAACTGCATAACACACATCACTTTAATTTAACAGCAATTAACATATCCTTTTCATCAAGATTTTTGTCTTCTGATAGAGCTGTCTATAAAATAATTGGAGAGTCCATGTTGTTGATCCACAATATTCAAAGAAACATATATTTAAATTACACATATGCAAATAGGTAAATTAATTGAATACCACTCATCTATTTCTCAACCAAAACAATAAGTAGAATGTAATACAGTAGTTAAATGAGTAGTTAATATGAGTATGCACATATATATAATAGGGAGCAAAAAATAATCTTACGGTTTTTATTGCTTCTTTTTGTGCTTCTGCCTCCAGATATGCATTGCAGCCTCAATTCTATTAGCAATTTCTGAGGCTATATACTCCGATGATAGGTCCAAGTAATCAAGAACGCATTCTGGGGACAACTGCCCAGTAGTAATGTCACTTCTATATAATAAAACCACTTCCAAAAATGTTGAAAAAACAAAGTAAATTGCATCTCAACCAAACCTCCAACATAGCAATACTCCTTGCATTTGCTCTTCTCTATGTCCGGCCATGTCCTCTTTCATTAGCACAATAGTTTGCCGCTAAACAGAAGAAACACCAAGTAATAACAAATAAAAGTAAATATCAAAATGTGAACTAATGACTTCTTCAAAATATTTTCTACTTGGATGGCTTAATGATTCATATTGTAGCAAAATGCATAGTTCAGAACACATCTGCATATGCTTCACTCCAAAAACAACTTGAAGAAATTCACTTTTTTGTCTTCTTAGTCAAAGTTGCAATTCAAAGAAATCAATAACTTAAGCCTCAAAGGTATGATGAATATATGCTTTAGGAATGACTGTAATAGTTTCTAGTTAGAGACTATAAAAACCATAGATTAAACACAAAAGACTCTAGGGACTAGTAATGACTATCTCAATCAACAAATATCTTAGAAAAGCTTCTTGTCAAACTTTCTGTACTACTTATCTGCAACCACAATGATAACAATTACTGTGACTTTAATGTGGTTTGTAAATGATATCCACATATACAATTTTGAGAATATCATCCATCCATCTAAGAAATACTATAAATTCCACAACCAAAAGTAAAGTTAATACATTTAATACAGTCCAACATCAGTCAAATTCAAACAGAGCCTAAGAATATCAAATTCAAACATAAGACTTTTCACAAACAGTTGGTGGGCAACCAATCTCAGACTCCATTAATTTAGTACAAGTCAAACATAAATTTCAGTAAGCACAATTGGTCACTTTTCTGGAAATTCAGTCCACAATCGCATATGCTCTTGGAGTTCACAAATCTAAAATACTTGTATTTTAAAAAAAAAAAAATTATAGAGAAAAAGAACTATTACCTGTGCAGCTTGCGGTTGCGGAGGCGGAGGGCTTCGGCCTTCAGTAGTTCAGTGCGACGGCTTCGTAGAACAGGGCGACGGGCTTCTGCTGTGGAGGCCAGAAAGCAGACGGCGACTCAAGGGTTTAGGACGAGGGTTTCGACCTTCAGTAGTTCAGTGCGAGTGCGCGACAGCTTCGGAGAACAGGCCGACGAACTTCAACTTCAGAGGCCGGAGAGCAAACGGCGACTGCGGTGGTGGGAGCGAAGACGACGGGGAGGCTTTCCTGACAGCGGAGGCGGCTGTGACGGCGTGCGTAGGCGTTTGGTTGTGCGATGGAGCTCAGACTGTAAGTGTGCGAAGGGTTTGGTGACTTTGGTCTAAGTGTGTAAGAGGGAGATGAGTAGGGTACCGCCCAAAATTTTGAAGTTTAGAGCAAAATTTTGTGAAAATGAGCATTCTTACCGTCTAAACACTTAAATATTTCTATTTCCGTCCAACAATCATGTTGGACGGTATATAATAATACCTACCATTTTATATTTCACCAATTGCTCAATTCAATTTTCCGACCAACGCGCAATGGTAGGACGGAATTTCAGTCCAACATTTAGTGTCGGTCGGAACCTCCGTCCAACACGCGAATGTTGGACGGAAATTCCATCAAACTTTTCGTCCATCCCTATTTACGACAGAAAATTGTGATTTTTTACAAATTACCGACCAACATTATTGTTGGACGGAAATGTTGGACGGAAATAGCGAAATTTCCAGCAATGTATGATCACATTTTTTTATTCATCTTCTTGAATTATAACCATGCAAAGAGACTACCTTTAACCAAGTCAATTGGCATTCATTGGTTGAACCAATCACCTTAATTTTTTTTTTTAAGTCACAATGTAAGATACCAAAAGACTTTGTGGTCCAATGGTACCAAGTTAAATTTCACCATCACAGTATAATCAACTGTCTTCACACATAGCATAATAAGCTGGATCCACTTCTCACTAAATCCCATAACAACCAAAATTCTTTCCAGAAACGTCCATTCCATTCTATCATAAGCCTTTGACATGTCTAACTTTAGTGCACTCCATCCCACAACACTACACTGTTTCCTGTTTAAATAGTGTCCCACCTCCGCTGCTACCAAGATGTTATCAGTAATTAATCTCCCTGGAATAAAAGCACTATGGGATTCCGAGATGAGATCTCCCATAAGCGTTTTCATTCTATTAGCCAACATCTTGATCATAATTCTATAAATGACATTACTCAAAGCAATAGACCTCAAATCTGCTACTGTTTCAGGCACCTCCCTTTTGGGAATTAATATTATGTTAGTATCATTCAAACCTTCCGGGTGTTAGCATGACTAGTATTTTGTTATTATTATTTTATAATGTATAGTCATAGATTAGTGGTGTTAGATTAATTGACTTAGCTTCTCTATTAGTTAGGATTAGTTAGAGTTTTATCAACGATATACTCTGTAATCCTATCATTGTGATAATTCAACTTGAGGTGATTTCTCTAATCCCGGGAACACATAAGAGTTCAATGAATGCGTTATAAACCGAGATACATCATCCCCAACTACTGACCAAAAATGCTTATAGAAGTCCGAATTCATTCCATCCGAGCCCGGTGCTTTATCCGGGAACATAGAAAAAAGAGCTGTTTTTACCTTGTTCGTATCAAAGGGGCGATATAACATCAAGTTTTGCTCATTAGACACACGGGGGGGGGGGGGGGGGGGAGGGAAGGAGGGGCAAAATTATCAAAGAGGGGATCATCACAACTCGAATTATTAGAAGCAAAAATACCCCCCAAATAATCCAAAATAGTCAAGTGCATACTGTTGCCTTCAACCCAATCACCAACATCATTTTTAATACTAACAATATAGTTCTTTTTCCTACGAACAGAGACATACCTGTGATAGAACAAAATCTTGTGATTATCAAATTAACTTCCAACTCAAATCAAGAAAGTTATTGAAAGTTTAATTTAGAATTTTGTAACTATTAAACAAAATGTGTAACTAATCTATAATTACTTGTCATAGTGTGTCATATTGCCCCTCGAAGCTAGATTCAACCAGAGTAAAGTATTACATTCCATTAAAAAAAAAAAAAAAACATAACTATAAATTGACTACGTAATCCCTTATATCATATAGAGAAGACTTTTCAAATAAGATACGGAGTAGTATTAATTCTCAGTAGAAAAGGCAAACATAACCTACACTAGCTTGAAACTACTTTTTTGTTCAGTAACTTTAATGAGAGTTGTCTGGACTGTTTTGTCCTATCTACTACTTCATGTCATCATGACATGTTCTTTAGACAAGATTAGGTACCATCTCATCTACCTTTGCTTCTTGGTATTTCTTCATTTCTGTAAAATAAGCCCTCCAATTAGTTTATAGCTGATTCTTTTTTTTTTTACTTTAATTGTTTTAATTTATTACTAGTGTTTTTTTTCAAAAGATTGAATCATCAATTTTAAAGACTCCACATCTTGACAAATTCTACTGAACTATTGAATTAAGTTCCTACTGACTAAAAAGTGTTTTAACTATTTAGTATGAAAGGCAGATATTTGATTATTGAAAATTTATTTTGTAATTTTTTTCAAAATGGCAAAATACATGAGAAATGATAAAAAAGAATCAGCCATAATATTAATTATTGTTTCTGTTTTTCCTCAACTCTTCAAGTAAAGAGCTGAAATCAGTGTCGGATGAGCCGCCGGGTTCCACTGCTTTCTTGGCCATGTTTCCTAAGGCGATTGCACGGCTTCTCCTTTCCTCAGCTTCTTCTCCGATCATTAGTTCCTTCACCGCTATCTCTATGTTTTCTCGGTTAATGGGCGCCCTGCTGTCTGTTCTTTTTGTCCACGCCTGAGCACCAACCGGAACTCCGATCTTCAGAATCTGTGTGACCATCTTTTCGTTAAAGAATTGCTCGGCGGAGAGTGGCCAGGTGACCATTGGCACTCCGGCCGCTACTCCCTCGAGCAAAGAGTTCCATCCGCAGTGAGTCACGAATCCTCCCAGGGCTTCGTGATCCAGGATGAGCACTTGAGGTGCCCATCCTCGAATGATCAGACCTCTATCTTGCATCCTTTCTTCGAATCCTTCTGGCATCCACTCCTTCATTTCTTCCTCTTTCGTGTTTTGCTTTACAACCCATATGAACGGCTGGCCGGAGGCTTCAAGTCCGGCTGCTATCTCGCGCAGCTGCGCGGCGGAGAATATGGACATGCTCCCAAAACAAACATACACTACTGAATTGGGGTTTTTGGAGTTGAGCCAATTCAAACACTCTTCTTCCCCCATTGACGCCGCTTCACCTCTCTGGGATTTTTCACCCTCTTCCTTGTTGCACAAGGAAACTGGACCGATGTGCCATGACTTTTTCCCTATTACTTCCCTGCAGTGTTTTACATAAGCCGGTTCTAGCTCATAGAAGCTGTTTACAACCATCCCATAGCTACCTTCTTCTTCTTTAATGAGTTTTTCCTGAAATTCTTTGATACTATTTTCGGAATCGTCTTTCCACGACTCTGGAATCTGCTGTTTGGTTGTTGTCAGGGTGTCCGGAAGGTCGGGGATGACGAATTCTTCAGTGTCGGATTCAATCTTCTCGTGAGGTTTGTGGCGGCGGAGACTATTATGCACACACACGGGAAAAAACCCAGATCCCCAGAAACTCAGCCTTGGGATCCCAAATTTGGCCGCGAAATCATTGCTCCATGTGTACAGCGGGCCTGCTACGATACAGTCAGGGCGGTCCTCCACCGCGAGCCGCTCAATTGGGCCCTGGAAATGATCGAGGGCGTTGAAGAAACTGAACGTCTGCTCCAAAGTCGTGGTGGCGGACAGGTTCTCGCAGCCCTCCGGCAGGCCGGATTCCTTGTAAGGAAATTCCAGTAATCGGATGCTTATTTGGCTTCCGAATTCTCTTTCTCGGTCGATGGCTTTGGAAATCTTGGCTGCGTTTAATGGTGTTGTGAGAAAAGTTGCCTTCACGCCATGCCTGGCAAACTGCCTGGCCAAGTCCACCATTGGAATCATGTGGCCTGGAGCCAATAAAGGAAGGAAGTAGACATGGAGAGGGGGAGATTGAGTATCCATTTTGTTTGTAGGTTGAGAAATTTCACTGGGGGCTTTCAAGTATGGTGAAATCAAGAACTGAAGTAGTTATAATAATCTTTCATAACCGCCCAAGTTGACAAGATGCCATTGTTGACTGTTTGCAATACTTTGTATGATGACATATTCCAATTCACATGTTTTGATTAATCTTCTTGAATATTTGCCGTGCAAGACACTTCTCTTGGGACTAAAGGTGGCGTGAAGGCAAATCTTGAGCTTGACTGTTTGTGTAAGAATAAATCATAGAGTCTCTCATTTTGAGGAGTTACTCCTACATTATAGTTAATAAGACTTGATTTATAGTTTCTTGATGAACTATCTAGCATGACACTACTTCTAACCAAGTCAAATGTAGTTAACTTAAAGTCTTGTTTCAGTCGCAATGTAGAATCCATATACCATAAAAAGCGTGGGGTTATTGGATCCTTTTTGCGCGGGGTATATTGATGGACTCCACATGCATGCACATCACCAACGGCTCCCATCACCAGAGATGGAAGTTTCATTAGTTTTTGGAAAACAATATATTTTCCCTTGTAATCTTACCTTTTGTATCCATAATTCTTGCCATTGTTGGCTGTTTGTATATATGATCACATTTTTTGATTCATCTTCTTGAATTATCTTTAACCAAGTCAACTGGCTTTTGGTTCAACCAATCCCTTTTATCCATTTGAGCACCTTTCTTAATAAAAGTCATCGCCTCAGCCAATAAAGAAGGATCTTGGAAGGGGCCAAGTGGGCCGTTGGCGGCTATTATACCACCTGGAAAGCGCTGGAGGCTTTTTCTCGGCGGCGAACATACGTGTCCCAGCAGCTCAGACGCCGGCAGCTAACTGGCGCTGCAGTGTGGATGCTGGTGTTCAGCCACATGGTGCGCAGTCGTTATATTATAGACCGTGGTGCATGTGCACCGCGGTCAAAAACGACGCCGTTTCTTTAAGTAAAGAAACGGCCCGCCGTTAGAGTTAACGGAGTCCGTTTGTTTGGTATATTAAACACCAACTGACACTACAGTATATCCAAACCGACACTGCAGTTATATCAAAATGATACTGTAGTTATAGTGAAATGAAACTGCAGTGTATATAAATTGAAACTGAATAACATTTCACATATTTGAGTGTATATTGTACAATGAAGCTGTAATTATATCAAAATAATCATGTAGTTGTGTTTTAATGAAACTATAGTGTATATAAAATAAAATTAAATAACATTTTCACATATTTGAGTCTATAAATATCGAATGAAACTATAGTTATATCGAAATGAAACTGTAGTTGTGTTCAACTGAAACTGCAGTATATACAAAATGACACGGAATAACAGAGTTACTTTTTGCAAAAGGGTGCGAAACGGCGGAAATAAACACTGTTAATTTTCATTTAAAAAAAAAAAGACGCGCGGTGCATAATCGATTATGCACCGCGGTGCATAATATAATTTGCCCATGGTGCGATTTACGGCTTTTTTATCCGCTCAGGCGAATAATAATTTTTTATTAAAAAAAAAAAAACGAAATGAGATGGAAATGGATCAAATTGGATTTGGAGGAAATTAAATCCATGAAAGATGGATATGTAAAGCCCAATTATGTAGCCCACTCATTTTCAATAAGCAAGAAGTGAAGTTGACTATAATCCTAAGCACAAGTCAACGAGTCATAATGCTTGCCAGTTGGCATAGCCTAGTTATGGTGCCGTAGCAGCCCTCATCTCTAAAAAATTTTGTCAGTTCATTTAAACTTTTTTTAAAAAAACTTTTAGGTGTGAGTCATTTATTGGGGTTGTTGGTCTTATCAAGATCAACCAAGGCATCTTTTGTAAGGATTGTAAAATGAAGGAGAAAATAGGAATTTTAACTGAATTATAATTTATGATTTTTTGATATGAAAACATGTCATTTTCGTCTTCTTTTTTTTTTAAAAATTTTTTAAATATAGGCTATTATATAATTTATTATATAATTTATACCATTATTCCCAAACTATATAAGCTCTTACAAATTCTAGTTGGCTTTAAAAAAAAAAAAAAAAAATTAACTGTTGCAATTCTGACATGATAGAATTGCAACAAGGCGTGCAGTTCACTTTTCATTTATTATTACTATTTTTATTATAATTATAATTATTAATTTATTGATAAAACTACAAAATGATTTTTTTTAATAAGGTGATATGAAAATATGATCACTTTTAAAAGAGGAGAGAAATGCATAAGTGAATAGTAAGGAGTAAATAATTGTAAATTTTCTGTTATGACAATATGATCAACTATGGATCAAGTCTGCTTCACATGATGAATTTTATAATGCAGTTTATCTATTCTCGTTTACAGACTATTACATAATAATGAAGTTTATTACATGCACACTTTTAAATAGTGATTACATATTTCTCTTATTATTCCAAATAATGATAAAATAGATAGCTATAAATGCTACATTTGATATGAATTAACTTTATAAAATACTTCTTGACCGTATTCAAGGATCCCTTGCGATGAACTTGACTCAAAATGTTATCAAGAAAGCTTCCAGACTTGCCATGCGAGCTGCTCGGTGACATTAACTAGTAGAAAAAGATCATATTTCATCCAAAAAGCATTAAGACCAAATTGACTGTATAAACACTTTAGCCAGTAACGAAGACTTGATAGAATATAGTCTTTGCTAGCAACAAAAGCCAATGCCAACATCACCCAGACTTGAAACTTTTTTTTTTTTTTGTTCCAAAACTTTAATGGCATTTGTCTGATAACATCTCAACCCTCTTTCGCCCGGCCCATTATAACATCATTTCAAGATTTTATAATCCCACCTCAATAATTTTAGAAAGAATCATTATGTATTTTTATTGACAAGTCCTATATAGACAAAAACGTTTCTCAAACGAAAGCCACATTCCAGCTACTCCCTCACTTCTGGACAATATCAACCTTGTACTGTTCATTGTTCCCTCGTGATATTTATTAGCTGCTATCCACGACTCAACGTATTTATAGGTCCATTCCTACCCCGCATTCACTATTCCTATCCCTCTCTTTCTTTTTCCCCTTTCATGCCATTGGCTGAGGCCTGAAAGGATATTTAAACTAATAATTTAATGGCTTGTCGGAACCTAATAATTCTAATGCATCCAGCCATGAGAATTGACTGGTATATGGGATGATGTAAATCACAGTGACTCAATGACTCAATAGATACTGTCAGATGTCAGTGTAGGCAAGATATCTGATCATTTTGGACATAATTTACACTGTAGTTACTGAAGTTCGAACATTCTTCTCTTAAATATTGTCTACTGAATCAGTGAGTTAAGTCCGTGCAAAGAATAGTATCATATTATCATGCCGACTTGTATTGTGTCTGGTCCCATTATCTTCTCACGGGCATTCATTCATTCCTTTGTGTTCTTAATCTTTATATATTCTGCAGATATTACATCCTATACTGGAGAGAAATGGGTGGCTTTGCTTTAAGCTTAGGTTTTCTGTTACTGGTTTCTCTCTTTCAGACATGTTTACTCGAAAATGTTGCTGTTACTGATTCTTCTCCAGGTTTTAGGAAACCAAGAGAAGCATTCGAAATCATCATCGGTGGCGGCATCATCATCGGCGGCGGCTGTCCCCCGGAAGCTCCTCCGCCTCCGCCTCCTGAACCCCTGTGCCCTCCCCCTCCGCCGCCGCCTCCTCCTCCTGAGCCCCTTTGCCCTCCCCCTCCGCCACCACCTCCACCACCTCCGCTGTTTGAAAACTCTCGCCTTGAGATTGCCTATTATACAATTCAGAGGTTCAAGAAGAAAATCACGTATGATCCGTTGGGCGTTAAAAACACTTGGAACGGGGTTGATATATGCAAGTACAGAGGGTTCGATTGCGCCGTCGTCCCTAGTTACAATGTGACGGCGCTAGCGATTGTGAACTTCAATCAGTTCTGTTTTGACGGCCCTGAACTCACCATTGACGGCTTCATAGATGGACTACCGGACGTCACCATTTTCCACGCGAATTCCAACAAATTCAAAGGCAAAATCCCTAAGAACATCGCCAAGCTTCCTTACCTCTACGAGCTTGATCTCAGCAACAATGGCTACACCTCCGAGTTCCCGTACGACGTCCTCGGCGCAACCAATCTCACATTCCTCGACCTCCGGTTCAACCAATTCTCCGGCACGGTTCCGCCGCAGGTGTTCACCCTAGACGTCGACGTCCTCTTCATTAACAACAACAATTTCCTGCAGAGCCTGCCGGAAAATCTCGGCTCCACTCCGGCGCTTTACCTAACCCTAGCCAACAACAAATTCTCCGGCCCGATTCCGGCAAGCTTAGGCAAAGCCTGCAACACACTGCGGGAAGTTCTCTTCCTGAACAACCAGTTGACCGGCTGTTTACCGGACGAGATCGGACGGCTGAAAAAGCTCACCGTTTTCGACGTCAGCAAAAACCATTTGACCGGCCCAATACCCAACTCGTTTGCCTGTTTGTTCGTGATTGAAGTCCTGAACTTGGGCCGGAACCAGTTCTGCGGCCCAATACCCGAACGGGTTTGCAAGCTGCCCAATTTGGGCAACTTTACATTGTCCAACAACTTCTTCAACGAGATTGGGCCGATCTGCAAGAGCCTGATAGATAAAAAGGTGCTTGATGTGAGCAATAATTGCATTCCTGGGCTTCCGAACCAAAGGCCCAAATGTGACTGCGATGCGTTTTATGCGAAGCCCAGAAAGTGTAAGTCAATGGGCCGGACCTATTGTGGGCGTGAACAACTTGGATCCGAAAGGAAGACCGCTATTCCACCGGCTGCCTCCCCATTGTCTTATAATACTCTAAAACCACATTGATTGTTATTATCTCCAACAAGTATAAATAAGTGTCATATCTTAGTGATGCCCTTAATTGTATATCTATCGGTTTCATTTGTAGTCTTTCTATTGAATAAGTTTTAAGCATTGATTTACTTAACCAGTATTTCAATCGGTTCATTTTATCTGTCTTATTTAGTTAACAAAACTCAACTCAAGTGTATGATTTCAACCACTAAAGATTGAACTGTATTATCAAGATTTGAACCCGAACCGTTTAATTAAGATGAAAGAAACTGATGTCATCTAATATAGACCGGATAGATATTTTTGCCTAATTTCGCCGGTTGATAAATTGATAGTGGGCCCAAATCTTGTAAATAGATTCTTTGCTGTGATATAGAATTTTGAAAGATATTCGCTGACAACACGACCCCACCCTCTTTGAAATTCATGTGACGTAGTTTGTGCCTTGTTGGTCCGTATAGCCGAAAGATGAAAGCTTTAACAAAACAAATCTGTTTTGAAACAAATAAAATATCTCACGTCATCAAAAATTATATATCACGTGTGCATACTAAGACTATATGGTCTAATGGTATTCGGGTTGGATTTTTATTTAGAAGATTGTGAGTTCGAGCCTCAGTGGAGGCTTTATTGGGAAAGGAAAGTATATGAATAGATACTAGATTAAGTTGGGAAAGTATATAACAATATTGTAAAAAGAAATTAAACTACAAAAAAAATAATGTTTGACGAATTCAACCGAAATGTTATTAATAAAAATTAAATTTGTGATCTTATTATATAAAAATTATAATTCACTCATTTGACCCTCATTTCAAGATCATCATTTCTTAATACATAAATGACTTAGCTTATCAAATGAGACCATTTCCATAAATTTTGGCTTTTGCCTCTATAAGAAAGCAAATTACGTACAATTTATCGGGCCTAATTTTATGCTAAAGTTTTGAGATGATAAAGTAACGCAAGCCCAATATCTTTTGTACGGTACCTAACTTTTGCAAGGTATGGTCGAGGCTAAACTGCACGTTGAATGGGCCCCGCCGCATTGGGCCTTCAATTCTTCACCGACACATTTGCCGCGCATTTTTCGTCGTCAGTTATTCACTGCAGTATTTGCCGTTATGCACGACGTTAATCACGTGAACCACGTGACCGATTCCGAATCTAATTTACCTCGAATGAAAGCGACTACCGAAATATATTACTAATTTTTCTTTTCATTAATTATGCACTATTTTCTTTACTCCGTAGTTTTTTTATGTATAACGTTGCAAAATTTATTATTAATTTAATACAAAAGTCATTTATATTTATAAAATAATAAAGCATGATTCATATTAAGTTTAACAAAAGATATTAATGATCAAATTTACACAATGTGAAAATAATACTTAAAATGAACAGATTTCTTATGTATACTAATTTACTGAATCAAGATTTACATCTTTTTAAATACTTTATTAGAGTTAGAGTTAGAAATTCAACCTCTTTAAAAGAAGAATTGATTAGTTATAACTTATAACCCATCTAAGATGTTTATATTTTTTCCATGGACTAAGGTTTACTTAATACATTCCTTCATATCTCTTAAAACATCAAACATAATGTCGCCGTACGTTTGGATGAGTGGGAATAACATTTATGGACTTATCACCGACACACGATTTCAAAGACACTGTGCCATTTTTCTTTTGCTTTTCAGTTTTCAGTTGGATAAGATATGAGGAACATTTCGGTATTTGATTTGATTTTTTTTTTTTTTTTGGGAAAGTTTTTTCTTCTGATGAACAAAATATTTCACACTTGAAGAGCTCTAAAATCTTACAGATTTTGCTATATATAGAGATTATATAATAATATGATAATAAAAAGTAAAAAAGAAAGAAAAAAATAGAGAAAGTAGAAATGATCACTGTGTTGCAGTGGTTCACTGATCCGCCATCGATGGTTTTGATGAAGAAGACGAAGACGATTCGGACTTTGAACAGAATTTGTAGTCGTTAGGTTTCAGTTTTCCGACCACGAAATGCCCCAAAGAATCCACGGAATCTACAATGTTGTCCCGGCAAAGGAATCTCTCACTGGTTACTCTCTCCACCTCTCTGTCAATCTCGTGCACAAACACGTGCGTCTTTGAGGCGCCGCCGGGTTTGCTCCGGGCCAACACGCCGGCGGTGAAAATCGGCGACATTCTCCCCGGCGCGGAAGGCAAGTACCCGCGTGGCCCGTCGATTAAAATGACGTCCCAAGCGACGTCGTAAATGTGGTTGGGGAGATCGTTGATGGCCAATTTGCAGTCGGAGAAGAGAAGATTCTGCACCGGCCGGCACTCTTTCTTGAGCTGTTCTTTAGCGTGTTCCAATAAATCGTAAAGCTCGCTAACTTTCGTCGTGAACTGAACATCGTACGCTTCGATCCCAGGTTGTCTCTCTTCCACTTTCGACACCTTATACGCGCTCTCGTCGACGAAAACCGTCCGGCCGTTATGGTTCAGAGAACGCCACAGAAGGGTCTCGTGGGTCAGCCCGAAAACGAGAACATTGCATGCGTTTCCGCAGCGGCGGAGCGTCGCCGCCACGGCGCTCACCTCCGCGGCCGACATTCGAGAAGCCACCGCCGTGGTATTAACCGTGGCGTAATGCACAAGCGCGTCGAACACCGGCTCCGGCAACTCAGGCCTCGCCGACGACCCCCCGCCGCTTCCCGCCGGCGGCACGGCGTCTCTGCCGGAGAAGAAACTCAGGGCAAACGCAAAAGCGAAGAATGAGACGAAAACGAGGAGCAGAACACGAGGAGACGCCGCCGGCATAATTCCCAGACCCTGTTTTTGCAGAGAAGGGTGGAAAACTATGAGCTTTGCTCCGTTCTTCATTCTCCTTCCTCTGAACAAGAGAGAGAAAATGGCGAAGTCCAAGAGTGAAGAGAGAGAGAGAGAACAGAAACCCACAAAACACAACGAAATCCCACTTCAAAGATTCAATCTTTCACTCAAATGGAGGTCAAAGAAGAACAGAGAAAAAGGGAGGAATTACGGAGGGACTTTCGGGTACCGAGTCGACTCACAGAATTACCTTTTCTTCTTTCAAAATTCAAACAGCACAGCAACCAATGGCCCTATGATGAGTCTGGGAATTTGTGTATATAGACCAGATGGAAGATAGGGTTCCGGGACCCACTCTGAACAGATGGTGGGACCAGCTATCACTCTTCTGAGCTACCTAAATTATTGTTCAGGAACTGAAGGGTGCTGCTGGCTATGGTGTCTCATGTCTGCAACCATATTTTATAAGAGGGTTATTAATTGTGGGCTCTAATTTTCTTTAATGAAATAATAAATTCACAGCTTTGATTACTGTAGAATTTGGAATCTAGACGGCGTTACATGCAGATTCCGTTGATTTGTAGCTATTTTAGTAATATTTGCAAACCTACTATACGTGCGTGGGTGAAATGTGGAGTTACACATTGTATATTTAGTATGATATAGGACATACTATTTAGGGTGATTAATTTAGGTGGATGGCTTGTATGAATGTGGACAGGGATTAATGTGGACCTATACTTTATAGTCTACATACATATAAAAGAAATTGAGTAAAATTTTATAGGGATAATATCATTTGATCTTTTAAAATAGTTGGTTAGAAGCGCTTAATTGGTTAGTCGAGGGGAGGAGGACAAACTTGGAGATGAAGACAGATAAAAAATCACATCACATTAAATATAATTGATCGTTGAAGCGGGAGTTACAAAAGAGTAAAAGGGAATACTATAAATGTTATTGCTATAGTTAAGAATATGAGAGAATATTCCACATGCTATAATAGAGTGGCTTCCAAAATAAGTCAATCAATTCAAAATAAGTTTATAAATTTTTTTTTGCTATTAGTTGTAAGGTGTAAGGTTGGAATGATTTACTTTCTCTACCAATATGCAAGTTAAGAGTAGTTATAGCCTATTGCCCCTTAAAGAAAATAGTAGGATTGACTCCTAACTAAAAAGACTTGCAATTTTGTCATTGCCATTCGTGTACATTCATGTTTTCAATACTGATAGAGTAAATTATTTCGGGCCAGATAAATGTGAATGGGAATTCAATTAGAGGTGAAATAATATGATTGGGAAGCTAAATGAAGGTTTGACCACATGAGATCGGGAAGTTAATTAAGGGCCCGATCACATGAGATTGGGAGGCTCCGAGTGGAGTGGTGTAGGTTGGGGCAAAAAGTCCCCCTAAATGTGCAATAAATGTCCTTTATATAGGGATGGGAAAGGGGACACATGTCGGGTGCTCTACATGTCCTCCACGTGTCCTAAGGAAATCGAGCGGTGTAGCTAGGCTTGCCATGTGTCCTTAGGGGTTTGACTACGTGATGGGATGTTTGGTGATCATTGTTTAGTTATGGACGAGACCGGTTGTGCTTGGATTTGGTTGGCTTTGTTTTTATGTTTATATCTCGATTGGCATGCTCGCCGGATAGAATCGAGAAGTTTACACAAGGAGACCGGTAAGTTTATTTGATAATGAGACCAGTGAGGTCTACTACTAATGAGTAATGAGACCGGGAGGTTTACTATTAATATAATAAGACCAGGAAGTATGCATGCCTTCTCAAGGTCGAGAAATACACTAATTAATATGCTCGGAAAGTACACTAGTGAGGTCAGAAAGTGCACTAGAGAGAGCTCCATAGGGCAAGTGGGTTGTCCTATAACCTTATCCAATACAATTCTACCCATTTGTGTTAGTTAGGTGTCGACACAATTTAACTTTAACCACACAATTTTTATTTTTTATTTTTAATCTTAGACGACTACTTCAAAAAAATAAAAATTTTAAAGTTGGGATAAAACCTGGTCAAATTTGAAGCTTACATCAATGTCTATTCATAGTTTGATATATTTTTCAATGATAATGACAACAATTTAAACAAAAGTAATGAACTTTACTAATGGTGATTAAGACTTAATAAGCCAAAATAAGGGGGAGGACTAGACAAGAAGGTTGGTACTTGTTGGGGAAATTGACAACCATTTACTCCGTGTTTAATGGGTCATTACTTGTTTTTGGTCGTCGTATAATCTTTTCTAATTATGTTTTAGGCCGGTTGATGGAACTCTTCATTAGATGTTTAGACAAAACACTTGGTGGGCTCTGATTATGTAATAAATAAATAAACACGTTGTAATTTGAAAATTGGTGTTTATTTCTTTGAAACAATTGTCAAACTTTAATATACAGGAAAACTCGTAATTATTTGTGAAATCCGACACATAACTCTAATCAGTAAAGGACCATAGCTAACTAGTTCAAACCAATAAGACCAATAGAAAGCTCTTTCAAGAAGCCAAACTTAAAACTTTGTGGTTAGGGATTGCAAAAAAAAAAAAAAAAAAAAAAAAAAAAAAAAAAAAAAAGGAAACAAAAACAAGTTGTCAAGCTGATTGGTAACAAGATGCTTAGGAAATACTTAGATTTGTCTTCCACTTTAGGAGCTTGTTGTTGGTATGTCAAGATTCCTAAATCCAACTTTCTTGCAAACAATCATACAAAAATTTACTTAGAGACACTAGCATTCTGGGCAAAAAAAAAAAAAAAAACCTGTCAAAACGGTTTCGAAGTGCTAAAGTAGAAGATAAACTATATAGTCGTCTGAGACAGTCATCTAGTAAATAATCCAACTGTATAATCAACCGTATCAATAACTTCGGCCCCAGTAAGTCCATTTCTTCGCAGGTTTGCCCGAGGCAAAGCACAAGGTTCCTGTGAGAAGCAAATTCCAAAAAAGAAGCATTACACGTTTTCATTTTCAGTAATTGAAATCATATGTCAACTTGGGAACTACAAGTGGTAAAGAGATCAAGAACAATGATGGGGTGGAGGGGATGATGATCAAAGTCCCCTCCCAATAGGGGCAAAGTGCTCAGTATTTGTTAGTGCTTCACTCTTCAGTGTAATAACTATGTGAAATGCAATGACGTTAATTTTATTTTAAATTCTAAATGTGCCAAACATAAACTAAGCACAACGATATCAAACTTCTATCTATGTTAAGTAAAGCCTTAGAATTTGTGCTTCAGTAGGTTGAGGAAGTATTTATGAACAGATACTGCATTGTAACAGAGTCAATAGTACTCAAAAAAAAAAAAAAAAAAAAAAAAAGAGTAAAGCCTTGGAGTAATATGACTGTAAGAAGCGGTACCTTCTAGTAGCTCAGGCTGGTCGAATGGAGAACATAGCGTCTTTGCTGCACCCATCTCTCCTTTCGTCCGTGTCTTCACATCCTTCTCAACATCCTACACAGCACAAAGCAAAAGGTCATATGAAAAGAAAGCAGCGAGGATTTGGCCAATTTTATGATTGAAATTAGCGCAAAGCAAAAGGTATTATTGTTCACTGTATTCAAACCTCTTCATCACACCACGGAGCCAAGACCAACTTCTTTTGGTTCAGAGCTTTCACAAACTCGTCCCAGGTTTTCACAACCTGGACGCAGGCATCTCGTTTTTGTTTTGCGACATCAAAGAGATTTTGTTGAATAGTGGCGAGCAAGTCTTTTACTTGTTCAGCTATGCTATCCATTGGGATATCATCTTTAGAGCCAGTGTCACGCCTGACAGCTCTTACCTGAAAAAGAGATATTCAGCATTGCCTTTGTAATAATCAGTCAATATTTCAATGTATAAATAGAAAATCAAGAGGCCACCTCAGATACGATGTTTGCCCTTCCATAGTTCTTCATAATTTTGCAAACATTAATAGAACAAAATATAGACTAAATACCTGGTTTTTTTCAAGATCTTTGGGTCCTATTTCAATCCTAAGAGGAACCCCCTTCATTTCCCAGTGAGAATATTTCCACCCAGGTGAATAGTTATCTCTGAAGTCTGCCTCCGCACGAATACCAGATTCATTCAACTTTTTAACAGTGGTAGCACAAGCATCAAAGATCCCTTGTGTATTAGCCTCCTTAAAAGGCACCGGTATGACAATCACTTGAATTGCTGCAACTTTTGGTGGCATCACCAACCCTTTATCATCACCATGAACCATGATCATCACTCCAATCTGTCATAGAATGAGAAGTTACAACCAAAAGCAAGGAATAGCTAACCAGCTTGGTTGGCGTGAGTGACCGTGCACTCTCATCCCTTGAGAGAGGTCGGGAGTTCGAACCCCATCTCGTATGGAAAAACCAATCTGGCCAACACTTTGCCCCTTAATTGGGCCGGCCCAATGCGAATGGGGACTAGTGTCTAGTCTGAGTATGGTACGGGTTTAAAGGTGTCTCCTATAGTTAAGACCTGCTCAGGACACCTGACACCTCATGGCCTGAGGCTACTTGAAAAATATGTCAAGGAGTAGTATATAGCAGGGATTATTTAGAAAAAAATATATATATATATATTGAAACTTATTATACCGTTCTGGTAGTGTACGCCCATGAATTCTGCCAGACCATAGCTTTTTCTCCTTTCTCATTTTCATAATTTATCTCAAACATTTTTGCGAAGTTCTGTCCTAAGCAGTGTGAAGTTGCACCTTGTATACCACGACCAGTGTTTGGAATAAAAGCCTGGGGAAACAAATATAATGTATGAACATTTAACACACCCATGACAACAATTTTGAAATGATTTGTAAAGCAAACATCCAATATGAAATATTAACTAGTAGAAACGAGTGATATACAAACCTCAACAGTTGTTGTATAAAGTCCACCAGCAAACTTCTCAAGCTCACTTTTCTTTCCCTTGGTGACAGGAACAGCCAAGTATTCTTCATATATCCGTCTATATAGTTCCAAAATATCAAGAACCTGATATGAAAGTTTTCATGAAACAAGATCTCAGAACAAATATCTTTCGTATCATCATTTATGTGTTACAATTCATAAAACCAAGCTATTGGCTAATAAAGAGTTGTTTATTGGATCTTATTTTGTGATGATTTTGAAAATGTAAGACAAATTATTTTGGACAGGCCCCTAAATGTAAGACAAACCTCAGCATCTGCCTCCTCCTTGGTTGCAAAAGCAGTGTGCCCTTCTTGCCATAGAAACTCACGGCTTCTGAAAATTTACAAGAACTCTCAAAATGTAAGAGAGAAGTGGACTAGTAGAGGCTAAACGTATAGAACATTTAGAAAAAGAAAACCCTTAAAAACACCTTATGAAAGGAGTAGGATGGCTGAATTCCCAACGCACAACGTTGCACCACTGATTGAGTCTCAAAGGCAAGTCACGATGTCCTCTTATCCACTTCGAGAAATATGGATACATAACCGTTTCACTAGTTGGACGAATTGCAATAGGGACTTCCAACTCAGACTCTCCTGATTTTGTAACCCAAGCAACCTGCAGAAAGTTCAAAATGAAGCAATAGTTATAAAGTATGGCAAGTTGGCCTTCTATTCCCAGATATTCTTGATTGTCCACACCTCATAGAAAGAAATGGACGGGTTTTAATTAGAAATACATTGTTACCTCGGGTGCAAAACCCTCTATGTGGTCCTTTTCTTTTTGTAGGACTCCAGGAGACACAAAAAGTGGGAAGTAGCAATTCTTGATCTTCATTTTCTTAATTTCAGCATCAAAAAAGCTCTGCATATTTACAACATTGAATAGTGCATTATTGAAGTCATTTATCCCCTACCAAAAATAATGTCCAACACTTAAAAAATTACGACCAGAAATGCACTTCAAACTAAAAACTTACCTGCATAATCTCCCAGATGGACATTGCCCATGGTCGCAGAATGTAACAACCAGAGATGTCATAGTACTCAATCATTTCACCACTAACAACCACCTATACTATTCGTAAAGAGAAAACAAGATAGAAATTGAGATATTAGAAGCCATAGCACAGATAAAGGATAAGATTAAATATACGGTAAAAAAGGTCATAGAAAACCCAAATGGAAGGCCAAAAAAAGTCAGTGGTTTTGAAGAAGAATTTTTCTTTTCATTAAGGAGCACCACAAAATTTTAGATGCTTGAACTTCCATGCTTACCTCAGAATACCACTCCCCAAAGTTTTCATCTTTTTTGTAAGAAAGACCTAGACCAGTCTCTTTCTTTACTTCCTTCTTTTTCCCCTCTGAAAGACAAATAACAAAGCAATCTTAAAATCATGAGTCATAAACCAAAGGGCAAGTCCAAAAATACTTTAGAGAAAATAGAATGCGAGCACTCACTAGAACTCGAACTTTTTGAATCTTTGCCAGCCATATAGGTAATTATCAATATACGTCCAAGCAAATCACCTGGAAATTAAGAATCAACCTGAATCCTCATGTGGAAGCAATAAATAGCCCAGAAGTTCATAGCAAGTATTTATAACATTTTAAGATTTGAGATGCATGATAGTTACTGCTAACAACTTCCCATTCCAAATCACACCACATATCATATCACATTACATAAATAAACATATAAATCATGAAGCTTTAAGAAAGTCGAAGCATTCATTTGCCGCATTTGGCACATGTCACATGTGGAACCACTTTTTTTTTTGTAGCACCTTTAAGCCAGCCCGTATCATACTCAGACTCGTTCGCACCGGACCGGCCAATCCAATTAATGGGTAAAGTACTGGCCAGATCGCATGTGGAACCACATTGGGCACCAGTGCAAACAAAAAGCAACAAACTTTAGGTTTCTTATCTCTAACAGGGAAACGGGTAATTGAAGTGCATGCATCTTGAGGTTGAAATCAACTACATCGATGATTTCCTCTGCTTGTTCAGTCAACTCTACTACAGCCCCCAGATTTCAAATCTCCAAGAACAATGTCCACCCACACTAAATAAAGGCTTGGACTATCGAATAACGAAAGATCAAATCAATTCCACAAATTGAGATACTCCGGAATCATCTCCACAGATTTAGTCAACTCCGTAAAGATAAAAAACAAACAAAAAGAAACTTAGTGTGAGATTATATGGAGTTGATACCTTAATTTAGAAAGAGTTCGAGCTGCGCTGTTGAAGCAAATTAGAGTGGCTGCCACAAGAGGTAGAGAGCTCAGCAGCTTTGGTCCTGAGAGAGTTTGATGATATGGGAAACGTTAAGCGATACTGCGATGGAAAGAATTAGGTTTTGACTTTTACAATTTGCATGTGCCCAGTATTTATATAAGATTTACAAGCGTTGAAAATGAAAGAGGACAAATTAACAACTTTGATCTTAGAAAAATTGTGCAAATCATCACACTTCTTTCCAAATATTAAAAAAAAAAAAAAAAGGAAATCCCACACAAAATCTGTAAGAAAATCTCAAAAAATATCTTTTAACCACCTGTGCCACACCCAGTCGGGCTCACCAGTCCGACCCCCTACACTGGACAGCCAGTCGGGTCCAACAAATCCAACGCATGCCGAGTAGCGTAGTCAAGCTCAAAAGTATCCATTTCCGACATTATTTAAAAGTCAATTTTAGTATTTTACAGTCGAGTAATATAGGTAAGTAATTACCGTTTGGGTATGTTTCAAAATTCAACTTATGGACAAAGATAATTTGTACTGATTGTGCAGTAATTCCTAAGCGTGGCTAATTACATTTCTATGCCGCTTGCTACAACAATGACTAAGAAGCATAATAAGCCTGCTACTTTGATCACTTATTATGTTATCAATCAGGTTGCAATATTGAGTGTTTGTAACTGAAAGACCGCAGCATTTTGGTCATTTACATGACATCATCTCTTGATCATCTTGAAGTCTGGATTTTGCTTTTTCATTTTATCATTGTTAAGTTTTAACTTTTTTAGGGGGCGTTTGGTTCAGGTTATATTATATAACCAAGGGAATGTGACATTCCCGAGCTTACATTCCTATGTTTGGTTCATTTTCTCTGAGGGAATATAACATTCCCAGGGAATGTAACATTCCCTCCACATAGGATTTTGAAAGGAATGTGATTCCCTTCATTTTGTTAGGTAATGTAAGATAACCTTGCATATTTATGAATTGTCATTTTAATTCTAATTATTTAAAGATATATATTTTATGTTAGCTTATTATTATTATTAATATGATACCGTTATCTTATTTATTTAATTTAATGATTAAATTTATTAAAATATATGAAAATATGTTAAGGATATTAGATATATATATATATATATATATATATATATATATATATATATATATATATAAAGATAACCCTAAACCAAACATGATAATATTACATACCTCAATTTTAACCAAACACGGGAATCTAACATTCCCTAAGGTAATCTAACATTCCGTGAACCAAACGGCCCCTTACTGTTGAGATGCATATAACTATACGAAATAAGGTGAGAATAATATATGAATTTAAATTTTATTATTTGACAAGTAGGAATAGAATTAATGAAAGGTAAGACATAAGTGATATAAAAACTAAAATAATCTTGTTTAATAATTAATAATTTAAAGACGAATTTGTCAATACACACTTTTTTTTTCTTTTCTACAGGCTGTGAATTTCAATACTGAGAAACAGGGATGGGAGTTTTAATGGGATTGCAATTCCCTCTAACCAAACAATAAAATTTTGGTTGCGGTGGAATTGCAACAAAAAAAGAATTGGTGTGTGTTTCTGATGAGGAATTTGTCTTGTTTGAGCAATTTATGGTGAAAATTGCTCAAACAAGACAAATTCAGATATCACAAGCCACATGACAGAATAATTTGAAGAAATTGACAATTTTGAAGACTATAGCATAGCCGATTAGCTGGGCAAAGTCATTAGGGGCAATGAAAAGCCACTTGATATAATGCATTTTCAAACAGCTCATACAAAGCTTGGATATATCCATGGCTTATCCAGCAAAACAGTTTCCAAAGACGCATTTTTGTACTCTCAAAAGCTCACTTCCATATCTGAGCACTGCCCTGGAGTACTGAGTTATTTAACTTATTTAACACAAAGCATACAATAACAAGGTTGAATCAACAGCATGCACAAAGATTCAAAGAACTTTGGATGAGATGTTTCCAAAAGCTCCAAAACATGAACTTCAGAGATAGAGGGGCCTATTATCCTATGAGCCAAGACAATTGCATATAATTCAAATCATATGGATTAGCAGTTTAAGGTCAAAGATTCCCCCCCATGTAGATGGGAAAGCCAAGACACATTAAACTTGTGTATCAACAAATGAAACCTTTGTCACTTCCATAGCATGAACACAACATTGATGTCAAATGCAGAAGAAACAAACGATTCGTCGCTTCCAAATGACAAACACAACTTTGATGTCAAATGCTGAATGCAGAAGAAACAAAGAAGCCCTTTGTCACTTCCGAAGGACAACACACAACTTTGATGTCAAATGCAGAAGAAACAAACAAAACCTTTGTCACTTCCAAAGTTCCAAAGGATGAACACAATTACACAACATTGATGTCAATGGCAGAAGAGTCTCAAGTTTCACATTTCCATGGCCTTGTATAATACCCATTACTTTACAAGCAAAGATTCAAAGACAACACATTCTTTATCAAGATGTTTGAGCTATTTTGTTAACAGAAACTATAATGTGTTGGATTTAGTAACATCAACAACTAAAGCAAAAATAGAACAAGCAAATGCACCAATAACTATGTTAACACAATTCACCACTATAATGTAAAGTAGTGTTGGGACTCCTGCAACTTTCTTGCAAATCCTAGGTATAACTTGATATATGCATATACACGCAAATAGCAGTTAAAGTGCTTGGGTGGAAGAATCCTGGATAAAGCTTTAAGGTGGCAAAGATTTGGATTCAAACAACAATAGTAGGTTTAAGCATTTATTAGCAAGATTCAGGGCACATTAAAAGCTTGGAATATCAAAAACATTTTAACATTAGTCAACAACCAACATAATACGCATAAAGTAAGACTACAGACCAGGTCTATCAAAACTGTCACAAAATGATGTTTTTTCAGAACAGAAAAATCAAAACTTTAACGAACATCTTACTGAAGGATAGCACAACTAATTGAGATGTGGACGAAATTTTGGAAATGCGATCAACGGTAGGACTTCTGGAACCTGGCACGAGCACCGCGACCACCGAACTTCTTGGGCTCGCAGCGCCTCGGGTCAGCTACAAGCAAGGTCCTGTCGTAGCGAACGAGGATGTCCTTGATCTCCTTCTTCGACTGCTCATCCACGTACTTCTGGTAGAAAGCTACAAGGGCCTTGGCGATGGATTGACGGATGGCGTAGATTTGGGAAGTGTGACCTCCTCCTTTGACGCGAATGCGCATGTCCACGCCGGCGAAGCGGTGGCGGCCCAAGAGGAGGATGGGCTCGAAGGCCTTGTAGCGGAGGATCTCGGGCTGGATCAGCTCGATTGGCACGCCGTTGATCTTGATGAGTCCGCGGCCGCGCTTGCAGTGAGTCACTGCCACCGCCGTCTTCTTACGCCCAAAGCATTGAACAGATTCTACCGGCGCCGTCGCCATGCTGCTTCTTCTTCTTCTCCTCGGCTGTGTATACTAAGCCTGCTGTCGAAGGGCGAGAATGGCTGTGAGGAAGAATTTATGGGATTAGGGTTTTGAACATATTTATGAGTACGGTGAAGTAGTGAGCTAATGGGGTAATCCCTACCCAACATTTGGGCCGCAAATGCTTGAGTCGTTTATTGCTCAATGGGCCTTTGGATTGGCAACTAACTGGGCCATGAATATAAACAGCCCAAAACGGGAGTGTTGTGCAAATTATTCTCTGGACCCAGATCCACATTGCAGGGACGTTATGCCATGGAACCGTGTTCACCATTCATGTTGAACACGGTTCCAACAGTGTTAGTACACTGTTATCTCGTTTTTTTTTTTTTTTAATTAATTGCGTGATTTTTCTTCTTTATTTTCACATTTTGCGGTTTCACTTTAATTTGAGGTGAACAAAGATTTCGGACATTCATAAATTATGAATTCATGCCTGCACATTCACTTTGGAACCATGCCTACACATTCCCGTCCGAAATCACGGACATTCATAAATTATGAATCCATGCCTGCACATTCACTTTGGAACCATGCCTACACATTCACTTTGGAACCATGAGATTATGAATTTTCTGTTATAAGATTATGAATTTTCTGTTATGAGATTATAAAATTCAGTTGTGAGATTATGAATTTTCTGTTATGCGATTATGAATTTTCTGTTATGCGATTATGAATTTTCTGTTATGAGATTATGAATTTTCATAAAATTCATAATCTCATAACAGAAAATTCATAATTTGATCAAACGCGCGCCGTTAACTCCACATCCGCGAATTTTTTTTTTTTTGCCTAAAAACGACGTCGTTTTGCCTTGTGTTCACCATTCTCGGTGAACACGATTCCATGGCATAATTTGCGCACATTGCAATGTGAATCCGAGTCCAAAAATACACAATTACAATGTAAACATTCAGTATGTAAATTATGTATTTTGGACCCAAGTCCATCTTGCGAGTAGACTCAGGTCTATGGTATAATTGCTGGGAGTGTCGCCACTTTTTTATTAGCTTACAATGGAAACACGATCATTATCCAATAATGTGTTCTGTGTAAATCACATTCTTGTGTAATAGTTTGTAATGTAAATTATACATGATAAATAAATTATACTATACCAAATCTATGCAACGAATTTGACCGAGACGGTGTTAATAAGTGTGGCCACTTTTGGTTGTTGAGTGTGTTGGTGTGATATGATATTTTTATCAAGAGAAAGAGAATACACTTGAAACATCCACACAAACATTAATGTCGTATACTTGTATAATAACTTTTATTGTCTACTGAATAAAGAATACCCATACAATCCTCTCTCACGAACTCGCCAACTCCACCAAACGACAATTTACAAGTAGGATGTATAAAACTAATAAGAATACGGCACACCCACGCGATGCTCTAAAATTCAACTATACTTTAATACATTGTATCGAAAAAATTATGCATCTATCAGTATAGCACAACTAATAAACAAAATATTAATACAACTATAATATTGGATGACCAAATCTTGTATGTGTGTGCTATGCTCCAAATTTTTGTTCTATATAATTTCTCAAGTAATAATCACATTCTATATTGTAGGACTTTTAAGCATTTATGATGTGCCATGTTAATGACATGTAACACTATCACCTATTGGTGTTGTTGTGTTCCATATAGCCAACTAACTATTCCATTATATTTATAAGTTATTCTTCAATACAACATTTAATGACAATTGTGTGAATTTTACTAGTTGTATGTGATAATGACCATTTACTCCATATAATAAATCATAGATGCAAGAAAACATTTCACCCAATTTGCTCATTTGACAGTGACAAAATTGACCATTTAGGATATACAAAATATTGTTTTTTTTTTTTTTTTGGTAAACAACAATAATGCACATTTTTCTTTTTAAAAAAATTATCAAACACGACTATAAACAAATTATGAAAGAAAAAATAATGCACCGAAAGGAGATGATCATAATTCACGTGCAAGTTACTTAGTATGTGCGATTTGTGAGTTATTACGCAATATAGCAATTTATTCATTACACATCATTAGATAGTGACAGTGCGTTTCTATTGTCATCTAAAATAAAATAAGGGGGAAAAAAACTTTTTTTTTGCTTGTTATTTATTTAATTAATATTATTTATCACATTTAAACAATTATATTGATCGAACACTAGTATCAATAATATTAGTATAATTATATATATTGTTATACTAAATATTATTCGTATGTATGTTAATATATAGTATGTGCTATAATTAAATATACTATATTATATTATATATAGTTATAATTTTTAAAATATGGTTATAACTTGTATTATCAATACAGGCTTTGATAGGCAGATTGTAAAAATCCCTAATTTTTTTTAATAAATGATAAATACAAAAAAATATGATACAAATGTTGGAGGTTTGAGTTAAGAATATGCTCATTGTGAATAGAAGTAAATATACAATTTGATATTAAGTATCAAAATTAAATTGATTCAATTTATCTTATCATAGTCCTATATATAAACAGGTTTATAAGATTCGTTCCACAAAGACAAGAAACATATGTTGTATATATTAATAAAGGAAAAAAAAAAAAAGTATAAAGGTCGAAGCGACGTGTACATCTACGGAATAGTTGTTAATACGCCAAACTTTGGAATTAATTATTGGTCATCCAAACACGGCCGATGGGAACTAATTACGCATTAATCTCCGCATAATCTATAATCTACACAACCCACCCCCCTCGCGGAACTTCGCTGCCTGTCGTCACCTCGCCGTCTTCTCCATCGCGCACTCACACACACACACAAAACCGCAATCTATATCCGCCAACAGGGGCGGTTGCCGTACGCCTTCTGCTGCTCAGGAATGGAACTATGAAACCCTATACACACACAAGGAATCTTTAGATATGCACCGAGGAAGTGTTGGCTGATTTCTGAGGAACGCCTTTGTTTCCCCTCCTCGGGTAACCCGATCATCATCTGTAACAGCTCCTTAGGTTTTCATCTCGACCCGTTCATTTCAATGCTTTACTTTCTCAAATTCAGTCTCTGATCGTTTGTTTGGTTGTATCGGTGCTTATCTGAAATGATCTCCTTTGCAAAGAAGTTGTATGTGTATCTTTAACTTCTTGTATACTTTAATTTGCATGTACGATCTCCGATTCTGCTATAGGTATAAGGTTTTCTTGATTTTGATGTTTTCATTTCTTTTGGGTTGACCATTTTGCTAATTGAGTATTTTTAATTTGTTAATTTACTTAGTTTTTAATGTATAATACTCCGTAATAGTCTTTGTTTGGGGACATCAAAGATTCTACTTTGATGGTTGTTGGAGGAAACCATCAGCGAATGGTAGTGGATTTTTGCTATGGTCATGAAGTAATCATACTTCGTAGCTCCTAAGCTCCTTAACTCATTGTGTTGCTTAAAATTCAGCTCTTTATTTCTTTTCTTTTTTTGAGTACTATCGACTCTATTACAGATATTTATAGAGGATCATCTATATGGGTGAAAATTTCTTTAGCTATGAGTTGTCTGAATACTTTACTGCCTTTGTTTCTCATAGCTTCTTCTCTTGCAAAGCTATGAGCATTTCTATGGGTGTGGAGCATTGAGTATGCTCCAAATTTCTCTTATTATATACAGTTTTTGCAATTGGATGAAGTTTTTGGGTTAGATTTTCATTTTCCCATCATCTGATTGGTTCCTTTGCTATCTGCTTTACATTTTGTGAATTCAGATTGACTTGGGAATTGAATTCAATTTGCTGCCTTGGGAATCAGGAGATCTAAGTGGAACAGATGCAAAGGAGGAGAAGTATTTTGGATTCATTTCCTGAGACAATTGATCTTAATCAGGGATCTGTGTACACTAACGCTTCCATGGATCAGTCAAGCCCTTGGGAGAACCTGCTGGATCCAGTTGATGGTCGATTTTCAAACTCGATGGTTGCTGTTGGCGGCAGAAATGCTGATTGTGCACCAAGTTTCAGTGGCTGGGATCAAGGTGAGTCTAGTTCCACTGCAAATTCAAATGATCGTGTTTTTGGCAGTGATTTGAATATAGGGCATGGTTGGTCATCTTCATCAACCAATTATGCTGTAGCTAATGAGCCTGATCCAAGGTTAGAAGAAAGGGGATTTGAGCCTTCTAACAATTTCATTCATGAACGAGGTGGCAGTCAATATGCTGGCAATCTAATTGGTAGGTCCAGTATGCCTCCCTTTAGTTCTAATCATAGCCCTGGAAATGCTAATATGAGTGGCTCATACCACTATGATGATGATCATCTGGCCACAAGAAGAAGTCTGCCTCCAAATCTTTGCAAGTCAGGGGGATCTGAAACAGAGCTTATTCCAGCTTTTGGTGTTTCTTCTAACAATTTAGGAACTTCACACCATTCTGATTATTTTATGGGAAATAATGATGCTTCAGATTCTTCTTTGGGTATGTGGGGCTTGTCTTGCAAGCGAAAAGGCCTGGAAGGTAAACCTGGACAGTCATGTGCAGGTGGAAGTTCAAGCTCCAATCCACGAGCTGATGACATAGTACATCATAGTGTTCCTGCTTTTTATGCTTCTAGCAGCTCTAATTTATCTTCATCCTCCAATGCTGGTATCTTGGATCAAGTTAATTCAAGAAATGGGCTTGGTACAAGAGTGGAAGCTGTTGATATGCTCCCACCTTTAAGTGTTGATATTGGCGTTACAGATAGCTCTACAAGGAACTTTGGCATTAGGGATAATATAGGGAATCAGCAATCAGTTGCATTTGGCTTACAGCCTGGAGGGTCTTCTATGGGGTATTCTAATGTTAGCTCAGGTCATGTGCCACCAAGACCTTTCTCAATTAGTTATAGGGAATCAAGACATCATCGATCTCCACCAGTTGATTCTAATCCTCCAAATCAGTCAGAGTCAACATATGCTCCTCGCTTTTCAAGGGGTATACATTCAGTTCCATGGAGTGGTTCTCAAGATGCACAAGGTGGCAGTTCTTCAAGTCCAAATATGCTTTGTGGAGAAAGAAGTTTTGGACTGTGGGGTGAATCTAGCTTCAGAAGATCCCTTAGAAACAGTGGAGAGCATCAAATATTTTACTCTGCTACTGAGGCAAGAAATTTGGTACAGGATGGTGCTAACTGGAACTTAGCCACTTCGTGTCCATCTCAAGACATTCCTTCTAGTTCTGCAACTTGCCCTGGTTCTAGTCAACAGGCATATCCTACAAGACGGGCGGTTAATCAGAATCCGACAATTCGCAGCCACCAAAGGTTGTCAGAGTCTTCACCTTGGGCTCTTTTTACACCTTCAGAATATGAGCAACGAAGCCACAGAGGTCATCTTTCACAACTGCCTTCAGGCACTACATCCTCAGAGGAGCCAGTGATGTCATCCCTATCTAGTAGCAGGGGTAATCGTCGACCATATCTTCAGTCAACTGTGAGGGCAGTTGAGGCCCCAGGTGATGATCACGGCAGTTGGCGTGCTTTAGCTGCTGATATTGAAGGGAGACACAGAATGGTATCTGAGGTTTGCTTTAGTTGTTTTTGTTATTTTTTATTTTATTATTGTTATTATTACTACAGCAGGAGTATTATTTATTATGCTCTTTGTTTCCATGAATGTTCTTCAATTGCAATGTCCAATGAATCAGGATAGTATCTTAGTTGTTGGACATATAATACACCTAACATCTTATGATATATGTGAAACAATATATACATGTATGTATGTATGGGTGGACTTCTTCCTCGCCTGAATCTCTCTTTACTATTTCCTCTTAACCTTATTTCTTGCTGATATTACTATACTTTGTGTCTTGTGCCCACACAAAGTTTCTATAGACCTTATATTTATTGAGCATAGTCTGAACAGCAGAATGCATATAATTAATTAGTGAAATCTATTTTCTTCATTCAAATTGTGCATGTTAAATAGAGACAGTTTTTTTTCTCACACACACATATCTTGAGGTTTGATCTGATGTTATTATTTCATATTTGACATTTCTGAAATCATTAGACTTGGTTTTCTGAAGGGGCCTGTGTCTGTATCCAGGTGGTTTTTCACTTGGTGAACTTTCTGTATCCACTGAGAAGTTGTATATTAAATTATTAATGTTCTGCTAATCATTAGGTTCCTTTCTGGAATCTCTTCTTATGCTTTTCTTGGCTTGAAAGATATCAGTAGGAGAAAACAATCTATGTCTGGAGCTGGAATACTGAAATGTGTAGTTAATCATGATGTTGGATCATTGTTGTCTATATTTGCTTGCTAAAGTTATTTTAATAACAAGCTTTAGTGTCATTGCGCATAAATCTATGACTAAGGAATTATTTTGATACATTATGTGCTATTGTGCTGTATTTTTTTCATGCTAAAAGGTATAAGATCTTGCTGAAATTGATCTTCTTAATACAGATTCGTCAAGTACTTAATGCTATGCAAAGGGAGAACATGCGAGCTGAGGTTTGGTTTTTCACCTGTATTTTGAATATAAATTACTCCATAGCTTTAAATATATGTACTTGCATTCATATTCACAGAGCTTTAAAGATGCTTTTCAAGCATTTTGCTCTCTGCCCTTGTGATCTGCACAGGATATTTTGAGAATTGAAAATTGATAAGCCAGTAATGGTTGGTTGAAGATAGGAACTTTCTATGTTGTAGTTTTGGTAACTTTAGACACTAGCAAAATATGATGGCTTTGTCAAGTGAAACTGCTCAGCTCAAATGTTTCCTTCGTATCTGGGATTTATTTATGTTATTTACCTCTTGCATGTACATTAAACTGACACAAGCATTTTCAGGATTATGCAATGTTTGATCCGTTTATTAATGGGGTTGCCGAGTTTCATGATAGGCATAGAGATATGAGGCTTGATGTTGACAGCATGTCTTATGAGGTGACATACTCTCTCCCCTTCCATCTAGATGCTTTAATTAGTAGGTATTCTTACTAAAAGAGCCAATACGGTTTATCAGGAACTGTTGGCATTGGAAGAACGCATAGGGAATGTGAACACCGGGTTGAGTGAGGAAACCATTTTGGGATCTATGAAACAGCATAAATATGAATGCTTACTTGGCCGAAGATTGTCATCAAATGTGGAGCCATGCTGTATATGCCAGGTAAGACTTGTGTCCAATCTCGAGCTGTTCTATCTACACACGAGAAATTATGACAATCAGTTTACTAATGCTTTCGTATTCTACCAGGAGGAGTATGTAGCTGGAGAAGACGTTGGCACATTGCAGTGTGGGCATCTGTTCCATACTAATTGCATAAAGAAATGGTTAATACTGAAGAATCTGTGTCCCATCTGCAAGATAACAGCATTGGAAACGTGAAACAAGAACTCTTTGAGCGCCTCCCCCACCCCCCATAAAACAAAACAAGAAACAAAAACAGAAAAACAAAAACAAAAACCAAAAACAAAACAAAAAACCAAAAACAAAAACAAAAGAGAATGCTTTGTTATGCTATGTGAAGCCTGTGCCCCTGGTTCTGATGACTAGATTGTTTATAACTTTTGGGTGAACTGTTTTTGGTTATATTCAGGATTGCTTGAATAATGCTATATGTAAGATTGTTTATCAACAACTCTTGGGTTTGATATTGGTTTACTGTGAATCCTTTTCTTTAGGCTCTGTGAATTCATTGGCTTTCCTCAGTATTAAGCTAAGCTAGTGGTTGAGTGCTTTTTCCCCATTTTGCTTTGAGCATGATAAGTTGGTCATGTGCTTGTGTGCCACCTAATACACCTTTTTAGGCCCATTTCAAAACAGCCATACAAAATTGGATCAGATTTCTTTAAAGATGTGTACTATAGTTGTGTATATAGTGTGTTCTCTTCAAATATTAATGGTTTGCCCCGAAAGGTATGGTCAAAAATTACAAGTTTGATTATTGTTAACACTAACTCGGGGTTTGCAGTGTATTTTTTTAGGCTATTATATAAGAGCGGAGTTATCTAGTGTACATTATAATTGTGAATTACTTTTTTTTTTTTAATTACAAAAATGAAGTTTAAAATGTGATTGGTCATCCTTAAAAGTTTTTATATATCATTGAAAAGACCTTTAGATTCAATTTCACTTTATGCTCACTATCATAATGGGGAAGCATGTGAACATTAGTTGTCACAATGAAAGGGGAAAATCCACAACCTCATATGACTCCATGTTCATTATATCAATATTACACCACACTACTCAACATTACATCCAATTCCATTAAAAACTCAATACCCATCACTCTCACTGTCTCTCTCTCTCTCCAAACTACTTTTTCATTGTTTTGCCTTTTGTATTCCCATTGTTATTATTATTTTTTTTTCTATACATTGGAAGAAGGAATCAAAAAGATTACATAAATCTTGAGTAGTGGGCGCTTATAGCATCCACGAAAAGCAGTTGTTGAATCTCGACAGTGGGCAGTGAAAGTGGGATTTACATCCTCCCAAATGTTCTGTCGGATTGGGATTGAAGATTTAATCTTTTCGAAGATTCCCCTAGTGATAGTGCATATTTGTTGACAAATTATACATCAATCAAATTATGATTTGGCACAAGTAAATTCTCTGTAAATTTGGTAAGTTGCCATGATATATTCCCCAGTGGTACTTTCTGCTTGCATGCTTGCATTCTCCTTAAATCCAACATTATTGTCCACCAACCAATGATCAAAGCTCTCATAGATGAAATTTACGATACATTTTTTATAATTATATAATTGTAATAAGTTAATTATCGGTTAATATTTTAAATAAAATCATCTAAATTGAAAAAAGAAAAATTAAAAGAAGGAAAATTTCCATTGTGGAAAAGATAATTTTACGTACAAAGAATTACTTACAATGGACCAATTCCATATAGTCGGTAGTTTTTTGTTTTTGACGGTTTAAATTTTTACCTGAAATTACAAAAAGGGGTATTGGTAAATGGTAATTGGTCTATCGTAAAAACTGAACGACGTCGCTGCGAGCAAAATCATCTGAATTTACAATGGAATCGTCGGGCCAACAATCGCGGAGCAGTTTCAAAAGCATTTGCGCTTTCCGTTTCGCTCGCTCTGTGCAGCCGCTCTGGACGAGCAGTAGTAATTGAGTCAATACGCCGGCGGCCACGGCGTCGCGCTGAGCTTGTTCGGAGGAGGAGCAAAGCGAGAGGAGAGCTCCAGCGGCGTACTCTGTTGCTCGGTCCGAGATCTTCAGGATGATTTTGACGAGGAGCGGGACGGTCAGCGCGTGGGCGGCGAACGCCGCGCATCCGGACGGAATCCGGCAGAGGAGCTCCACCGTGGCCAGCGCTCGTTCGGTGTCGCACTTTTCCAAGTATTGCAACCTCTCTATCAACGCTTCCACTGCTCCCGCGATAACCGCCTTTTGCCGGTGTTGTTTCACCAAGCACAGGGCGAACAGCGCCTTTACTCCCATTTTCAAGGCTCTCGGATGTGTCGACGGATGATTGAGAATTCCGACTATTCCTTGGAAGATTTCGTCGGCATTGCTGATTTGAGATCGTAGTTCTGGCGATTTCGTTCCGGCGACGACGGACTCTATCAACGCAGCTGAGTTAACTCGAACATCTATCGAAGGATGAGAGAGCAGAGACACGAGGTATCCGACTCGGTCCAGATCGGAAGCTACGAAGACGCACTCCGCCTCCGAGAGCTGGAACATCGATAAAATCGAGAGCGCCTCGTGAGTTAACTCGGACGAATTCGAATCCATATTGGAGAACACGATTGAGAGCAGAACTTGGCGCGCGTTATTCGCGGAAATCACGGACCGGTTCTTATCCGAGTCACGAGCTAGTCCTCTGAGTCTCCTCAGTGCAGAAAGCCTGGAATTCAAATGACTGGACACGGACGAGGCTTGGCTCAACAGGGACTGGACCAAACCCGGGTCAGCAGGCTGCTTCGGCGTAGGAATGCGCTCCACACCGAAGGCGCGGTTCGCTACGCACCACTCCTGGATGAGCCGTCGGAGAGTATGGTTTGGTATGAGAGTAAAATCCGTCAAAGGCGCTCTCGTAACCGGACACGTCGTATTACCGGTGGCCACCCAAGACTCTATGCTTGCTCTGTCGTACGTCTGACCGGTACAAACGGTCACCGGATCTCGCATAAGCTCCAGAGAGATCGGACACCGGAAATGGTAAGGGATCTGAATCCCCCCCACATCCAATGGGTCTAAGCTTGCAGGCATGTTTCTTCTCTCCCTCTGTCTTTCTTTCTGTCTATTTGTATCTGTATTGCTTGGCTCTAGAGTTTTTAAGCCGTGTTCAACTTCGTCGGGGAAAAGCAAAGGGTGTGCTATACGGAGAGAGGAACAGAGGGACAAACTAAGCAGGCCGTTGGGGGCTTTTCTCTGAGTTTCTGTTGATAATGTTGGCTTAAATGTTCTTCGTTTCTGACTATGTAGCAGTCCTACCCCACACGTGTGTGTTCTATTAACTCTGCTTCTCACCCAAAACCTTAACCAGGGTTGGGTGGAAGGATGGAGAGGTTGGTCATGGCGGTCAAAGTTAATGTCCCATTCCCATTGGGGATTGGGGATAAGGGTTGGGTCCCACTGCCTGCTCATATCTAACTTATGTTTACATCAATTTGGGTATTAACAAATGATCAAATTTATTCCAATATTTTCTAGTAAAAAAAAATTGATGGTTCAATCACCTCTTGTCACTTTAGAGATTAGTATAGTCTTATCATAAATGAAATTTTTTAGTTTTGAATGTAAAAAAAAATAAAAAAATAGAGCCTAATGTTCATCAACATGAGTAGAGATAAGTCTAAAAAACTTATCTGAGTAGGAACAAAAGATTAAAATAAAAGAGATAGTTTAAAAAATAAAAATGAAACACTTAGCAACATATAACTATAAATATTGTTGGATATGAGCGAAGAATCAAAACTTTATAAATACAATATTCATAACAAAATATGAAATATAATTATTTTGATAAAATGATTCAAATATAAAATATATCATAAATCATACATCTTATATTCTAAAGAACAATGAAACACTTAGAAGGCTTGCACATCTTATATTCTAAAGAATAAAAATGAAAATATCACAATTAATATTTTTAAAAAGGCAAAAAGAAAGTATAAAAATATAGGAAAAACAATGAGATTCAACCCTTATTAGACCGTTTCCTACATTAAAATTAGTACTATTAAACACACACAAAAAAAATTAAAATTATTAAAGAAAATAAGTAATAGATAAAGAGTTAGTTTAATCAATGAATAATAAACATGATAGGCAAAATGAGACAGATGAGCAATATTTATGAAAATTATCCCTTTTTTTTTTCCTTTACTATATATGGGGATGGAGACATGGAGTGGACGAGGGGCGGCAAGTGCCCCCACTATGAATCCGCCCCTAGACATAAGTCTCAAGTTTTATAAATGATAGTATTAAAGTAAATTTACAATAAGTTTGGTATTTTAGTAGTTATGCAATTTGAATTGAAATTAATTTTTAGTTTATTTTGATATGAATGTTTACTAAAATTTGTAAATTTTTTGGAAAGATAATATACGAGGATTGTATATACAGTATTCAATCTTGGCAACTAATCTCATATTAGCACTGTGGAACAGTAATTATATGTTAGCATGCATTATTCATGATTGTGTTTGAGGGTAGCAAAGTATTACCCTTTTGCAGGATCGACCACAAGAGTCTTTGTCAGGAGGAGCAAAAGGAAACAAAAGTGCATTTACTTTTGAAAGGATTTGCACCTAAATAGACAGGTATTAATGTATTATGAAAGCCAATCGATCATTTTCAAAATTTTGCTTTGAACACACTCACATGGTATAAAAATTATCCTGACATGACTGCACTTTTTTCTGGTGCAAGTATTTGACCCTAACAGTGCTTGCAATACTACTATTTCCTTTGCAACAATAGAGGTGGAACACTGGAACGTACATGAAGTATATATTCAATGATGACAAGCCTTCCGGGTAAGGAAACTTGATTCATTTACTGTACTCACGTTGAAGTTTCAATATGTGCCCCCAGATTATATTTTATTTTCTCTTTATTTCTTATTCCAAGCTTAAACTCAACAATTTGTATTAGAGTGAGTAATTGAAGCATAGAGACATTGGGGTTGTATTAGAGTGAGTAATTGAAGCATAGAGACATTGGGGTGTTTGGTAAATGACTATTAGCTGATTGGGTTAGTGAGTTTGACTAGTTGATAGCATTAACTGATTGTAGAAAAATGTTTGGTAAATTAAGTGTTAGACAAAATGATATTCTCAAAAAGTTGATCGAAAAAACTACTTTGAACAGCTTTTTGAATTTTAGCATTTTGAAGTAATAAGTTGTTACAAAAAGCTAATTAATCAAACACTTATATTAATTTTTTAACCAATTCAAACAGTTAATAGTGGTCAAATAAATCAAAATTGATTGATAAGTTAACTATTTTACTAACCATGACCATTAACTAAGTTGGGTAACGATAAATATATTAAAGAGTTATATACAACTTACACAATATATATATATATATATATATATATATATATATATATATCCCTACAAAATAGGTTAAAAATTGTAGGAAAAGAAAATAAGAAAAGTTGGAGTTATCTAATATTGTTGTACCTCTATTAGTTGATAGTTTAAGGAAACTTACTGTACCTAGGAAAGTGGCAAGTAGAAATATATAAGGTGGGTTGTATTCTTGTATTGGATGAAGATGAAGGGTGGAAGTTACTAAGAAAAGGGCAACACACATTCAAAATGTATCCAACCAAGGGAAATGCATAGGAATATTGGGTCACAAACATAATAAAAAAAAAAGGAGAACATATCTTGATGTGGGTAGCAGTACCAACTGACAACAGTACACCAAAAACATAACCAGTATCCTCCATTCAATTAGGTGTTGATTTTTGGACATATCTTAGGCTTTTTACTGTGGGTCTGGGGCTTAGGTGTTGGGTGGTCAAAGGTCAAAGATGAACAGAGAATGTGCCGGGGCCAGGTTGTCCATCCCACTGGCTGGCACTGGCCTCGTTATCCGACCCGGCCCCCATTTTCTTATTATTATTTTCTCCTATTGGATAACACACGAATACTACCGTACTAGTGAGTCGCAACCCCTCAATTTTCCTGTCAATTCTTAGTTTGCACCTCTTTATATACCACCCCGACAAGTTCTTTCTTATTTAAATTCTGTCGTACATAAGTGTTGCTGTATTTTGAACCCCTTATTTGATTAAATTTTGCATTTTTTTTATCTTTTTTTTTATCATCAACAAAATATGTGATACAATTGTTTTAGTATATAATATCAAAAAAGTCTTTAAATAAATAAATAAATAAATAAATAAATAAATAAATATATATATATATATATGAGTCTAAAAATAATGAATATTGATTCATTATTTACCCATAAACACGAGTTAGTATGTAATATTTTATTTGTCAATAAGTATTAATAAATGATGGAGATATTACTCTCTGGTCAGTGGTTACCTTACGGTCGGTTATCCCGAACCACTTAAAGGCCAATCTGATCTTGAACGACCGGGAACCATAACTCTCGACCGTCTTCCCTGAGCCGATTGCATAGAGAAGATAATCCCGGGTTCCCCGAGCCCCTTTACTTGGACCGACCTCTTGAGGTCAGTCCTGGTCTATGTGCCTCTGGTAGTGATTTGACATTGCTAGGAGTATCACGCCACGCATCATAAGCTCTTTCGACCTTGCTCTCGCCCGTCCTGGTCTATGTGCCTCTGGTAGTGATTTGACATTGCTAGGAGTATCATGCCACGCATCATAAGCTCTTTTGACCTTGCTCTCGCCCGCTGCATGCGAGTCACGTGCCCTCCATGTCGGAGACCCGGATCATGTTACCCTTTTCCCCCTCTATAAATATTACATTTATTGCTGGGGAGGGAACCTTTTTACTTACTTCATACTCACGCTATTTGACCAGAGATTCCCGACCCATTGCCGGAGGATCTCGAGCTCAAATACCAATACTGTACATATACCATGGTATTTATGGTATCAATAAAAAAGTAATATTTTTCTTAAAAATGTAATATTTGTTGGTTTATACCAAAGTAATACATTTTATAATACATTTTTATTAAAAAATATTACATATTTAAAATTTTTGTGTTTGTAAATAAATATTACTCCAGCATCACACCATGGATCCAGGAGGTGACTGCACCCTTGTTTTCTAGCACAAATTGCATATCGCAAATGGGTAAAAAGAATCTATATCATCCATCACATGTTTGGTTGGTGGGGTAGGGATAGTCGCATCACAGTAGAAGAGTGAGTCCATAAGGTAGTCCGCATATATATAAGATAGGTGCCAAGCAGGTGGATGTCGCATCGCTGGTTGCCCACGCGTGTGGAAACCACCAAGGCCTCGCGACACAGCGGACCACGAGCCATGCCCTTGAGGACCCGCCGACCCGGCATGTTTTTGGTTCATGTTGCTATCCAAATTGACGTGCCTCCCAACATGTCTCCATCGTTTTCTTCTGGTATGTACAAGACTAATGAAATTAATTTTAATGCTTCTCTCAGGCCTCTATTACTAAATTACAAGATTTTTAGTCGCTCGACATATCTATTTAGTGTGATAGAGATTTGTACATTATTTGTCGTGTAATTTTTAAATAATGTTTAAATTTTGATAGTGAATATTTTATAAAATTTTTAACTAAAGGTTAAGGATTTGATTGTTGGCTTTAGGTATGGAGCAGTCTTAAACTTTCAGACCAGTTGTCCCACCCAAAAGAAGTGCTTACAATTTAGCGAAAGAATTAGTCACTGTGTCGGATAATAAAAATTCTATGTACACCCAAAAAAATGTAGACTTCATGATACCCATTCAATTTCAAAACTTTTTAGGTTGTTGTGGATATGGTTCTTACTTTACACCGTTTTTAGAGCCACATTTAGGGGTTAAGCTTAAAGAATATATGATTTCAGCCACAGTTAAAGCAAAGAGTTAACTTTACAGCAGTAGAGTATAAAGCAGGCAAAGACTAGTTGGCTTTGAGATTTGGCCAATGTATCTCACAATATATTGTGATGGTGGACCAATATTTTGAATACAAATAATTGAGAGTCCACCATCTACGTGTATCATTTCGTATCAAGACACGTTGTCGGTGTATATATCCTAGAAGTGAAATCTGGGTGGTCCATTCTATTTTCCACTAATTTAGTAATGTGGCGTCCAAGTCCAACTTTACAGCTATTATATTTTTATTTTTATGTAATGTAATTATGGGGTTTTTTTTTTTTTTTTTTTAATGATGATTGTGAGATCGACATCAGATATAATACTCGAATTTATTTCTGTTGTGAGTCTTGCGACACCATGTAATCATGTATCTTAATTCCTAAAGAGTAATATAGCAGGAGAATGATAGTTAATGAAAATCATAAAAAATTTAAATATCATTATTATCAATGGTTGCTGCGTTTGTAGATTACAATACATCTTTATGATGCAAAAAGGAGGCGTGTGGCTGTTGGCTATGATCTAATAGATTATAGTGCTAGCTAGATTTAAGATAAGGGTTGGTACATGGTAATCCATGTAGTCAAACTTCAAGAACCGCAATAATCTAAAACAGTGCTGCTTGATAAAGGTGTGGCCCTGACTTTCTTGGAATGCAATCAAATATAATTTTCTTAAAATCTTTATTCACAAGTTTGACTGAAAACCTAAGACTTCCCCAAAATCTGCAGAAAACAACCTTGAGCAAACGTAATCCTTAAACTAAAGTTTCCCGTTGAATCGGCTAGAAAATATGTACTCCTTGTGATGCACACTAAACAGGAAAATGGTATTGAACTAAATAAATTAATAATATACCGCCTATATAATGCACACAATTAAAGGACCATGAAACTCCAAGCTAAGTCTCACCACCGAGAGAAGCCATCTCCTAATATGTCTTTGTTACATAAAGTTCAAATTTGGGATGGTACTTTTAATAAATTAGTTCTATAAATAATTTATAAACTTTGTTTGGTGAAGTACTTGATTAGGAAAATGTATCATACTTTGAAGTGAAGAGTGAGTAAACCATACTTTTGATTTAGCTATGACCATATAGTTTACAGATAATTAATATCAAAACATAAAAGCTTATTAGCGGAAAAAATATAAACTTTTATATTTTGTCACAGTTGTATCCAAATCTTTAAAGCGTGATGAAAAATACAAACATTTACGTCTTCTGACAATTATATTTAAACTTTTAAAAATTAGAGAAAAGAATACAAAGTTGTGTATTTTGTGACCATTATACCGAAAACTAGTGAGAAGTATACATAAATTATTAGTATTAAATGCTAGAACTGATGCACAAAAATTAGTGAGGAGTATACAAAATTCTCTATTTTTAATAATCTCACTTTATTACTATTTGCAATATTATCCAATCAATAAGAAAATAGTTAAATAGAGTGTCGTAGCATACAATGTTTGCATGATAAAACTTTTTTCAATGAAAGATGGGAATATTCCCTCTTTGTTATGTTCTATACCACGGGCTAATGACCATAAAATATATTCCCTCGTTCGATTCCCCCCAACCAACCTACAAAGTCTGCTAGGTTAATATCTTAATCACGACTTTACTGCATAATTACAAGACAATATAGTTTCGATCGGCGTGCTTTGTGCAGTGATAAAAGACTTGGGTCTAGTTTGCTGCAGGTGATACATATCAGTAACCTTGAATGTCCAAAGGTGTAAGAGAAAATGACAATGCCTTGAGCCACTCAAATCCTAATTACATATAATTTTGATTTGAGCTTTTGAGGGTATACGAATTACCTAAAAGGGCTCTCAATTGGTGAAGGTAATACCTAGTGTATGTAAAACAATAAAGAACTCCTTAAGACTAGACAATAACATAAACTGATCTGATAAACACCCCCCTAGTGGCCTAAAACTGAACAGTGTTTCTTCTTTTATCTACCATATGAAGTGGCCAATACTATCAACACTTTGGGCACTTTGCTCTTTCTAACAAAAATGAGGTTTGAAGAAAATGTATGGCAGTCACTCAGTCAACATACATATCAAAGAAATCATTCAAAGTGGATGGCAGCTAGTGGTTGGAGACTCCACTTGGAATTCTAATAGGAAATATAGGGTCCAAAGGAACAAGACAACAAGTGGACAACTTGCTATTGTACAATGAAACAAAAAAAAAAAAAAAAAAAAAAAAAAGAATACAGAAGAGCTCAAACACCTACTATGATTTGATTCAACTCTGAATTTTCATTCTCAAACAATGAAAAAGCAGTGAGATTTTAAAACGTAGCAAGCTTACACCCTTCAATAGTTCCATGAGCCAAATATAACTTTCTTTATGATCATGCATCTCTAAAGCTATATACACATCTATGGCAAAAGCAGGGATATCTGACTAAAAGTACTCGCATGGAAACAACTATCAAATCTACATGCACTCAAGTTAAAATGCCAGCCATCATTGAAAGAAATGGTGAGTATAGGGTGTTACCACAAGGAAAAAGCCAATAACCACATTCCAAGCAGCAAATGGCAATTGAACTGATGACCTGCTGCCCGAATTTGTGACGCTTGTTCCTTGTCTACCTGCCATTGCTGCTGGAGAATTGGTTGGTTGGGACGGCTCACAGGTTCCAAAAGTCATATTCTCCTGAAACAGTAAATACTTGCATAGTAAATTAGCTTCTATATGAGATACAACATGACTAAAGTGATAAAATAAAGTCAGGCTTAGTTATTTGGTTCAACCTTGCAATATGCGATGTTTGTGCAACCACATATTAGATGGCCATTTGCCTCGTCAACAGCTTCAGAGGCTCCCCCTCCATCACTTCTCTGCAAAGTTCATTTTTGAAGAAGTAATTGAAATAATAACTTGTAAATGAAAAAAAAAAACATGGTTTTCCACTTGCTAAATAAGTGTAATTTAACTACAAAAGTACCTTATAAAAATCAACAGCAATGAAATTGGGCCATTTTTTGCCAGCAGCTTCAAAACATGTATACATCATACTCTTTAATGGTTTTGAATTATGTTTGCAAGCTTGGGCAAGATCTGGCCCACTTGGAAAATAGTTCATAAGAACTAGTGACCTTGTTCGTGTGTTCAAGGGAGATGATTCTGCACGTTTGGTACATGATCCATTTATCATCCCGTCGTCTCCATCTACAAAATGAGAGTATTGGTACTCACTACTCAGTAATGATTACTAAATTGTTGGGATGAGCACATGAAAAATTGGGGAAAAAAACTCACATTTGTTTTCGACTAAGTATGCCCATTCATAAGCGATGCCTTCAGAAGATTCTTTAGCAGACTTTGAAGTGAAAACCAGTAGCCGTTTATTCTTTTCAATCATTTCATCAACTGTTGGCCATTCACCACCACTTTTAGGCATCTGAGATACTGGAAACCAGAACTCTCCCAGGCCAGCTGCGTTAAAAACCTTAGTTATTCCATTTGGTGTTGCAACGTAATCTTCAATCATGATAGTGACAATTTCTGAAGGGTTTGCTTTAAGAAACACTTGAATCTCTTTCAGGACATTTATTGCAGGTTGCTGAAAAAAAAAATTTGAATCAGTATCAAAAGATAAAATCTTTAAAAAGTGATAACTTGATAACATAAATACATAATGAGGTGATAGTAAAAAATTAAGCTCAATTATGCACCAATGTTATCCTTAAAATTAAAGCAAAAGTACCATAAGGCATATGGCTTCTTTAATAGCCATAGAAGACTGATATGTCAACAGTGTTCATAGATTAGTTTGAATCACATTCTGTAGATGCAGAAAATAAATTTACAATTGACAACATACTACACCATATTTCAATATCATGATTTTACAATTGACAACAAACTTACAAAAGCTGTGTAGTTGTAGCATTTTCCACCATATGAATGGCATAGCCAAATGTCATTGTTGAAGTCATACATATCAAGCATCAAACCCCTAACGCCATTCTGCAACAGTTACATTTCAGAAGCTCATCAGTGTCAATTGTTTTTCAAAAATCTATAGTATTCTGTCTCTTCTTCAATACCATACCTCTAGCATATGTAGAAAAATGAAACTGAAAATATTCATGCATATGATGCACGGTCAATAAAATTCCCTAGAGGAAAACACACACACAAATTCAAAGAGGAGAATAAGAAAAACTACATACTTAGTTTTGCATTGGCCAGCAAAACACTAAGACATAACAGCACCTTAGAAGTAAATAACTTTTTGCATTGGCCAGAATAACACACGCACACACAAATTCAAAGAGGAGAATAAGAAAAACTACATACTTAGTTTTGCATTGGCTAGCAAAACACTAAGACATAACAGCAAGTTAGAAGTAAATAACTTTTTGGTCTCCCCATCTTCTTTTTTTCCTATAAAACAATTAACATTTCTTTGCAAATTTCAGTTGAATTTCTATGTTAATCATTAATTGAAAATTTTGATTCTTTTTATAAAATTAATAAAAAATGTGGTGGAGATTTTATCCATATGCATTATCAGATTGATGAACTACCATACAAAAATAAAATTTCCCTATTAGGCTACCATTTTCCATTTGCTAACTTCCCTTCATTTACATAGTCAAAGCTTAGTCCAACTCACATTTAGCACTATTTTTAGTCAATATAGTAAACGTCAAAGCAATCATCAGTGAACACAACCAGTACCACTATACTAACAAACCAAAACGAAACACATTTAAATTTGAGGCAGTAGAAGAAATCATTACATTGAGCTGTTCAGTAATGCTGTCCTGCTGGGTTGTAGTAGTCATTAGGATGCCTCCCGTGCCTGATTTCACCCCTACTTTGGCAATTGAACTGTGTGTCGTCAACCATGAGTACCGATTAAACGGCAATCCCTTGACCTGAATCACATTATACTCAATTAAAATTTTCAGAGTTTCCAGTCCATCTTTTGATATCGAAATTCAAAATATCATCATGTCCAATAGTAAACAAGCATACTAACAAATACATAAACATAAATGTATATGTATAGCTGGTGAGTACAGTGAATTACCTTAGAGAACGGATTCAGAGGTTGACTGCGAGTACACCTAGGCGCAAAATCGCCTACCGCAATACACGTCTCGCAATGCAGGCCGGTATCACACCTACTGTCCGAGACGCACGTTTCTCCTTGCTGTTCCGGATAATCAAAATCAGGTTTCAACAGTATAAACAAATAAGAAGTGAGTTGATAAAAGCAATTGATACTTCGAGAGGAAGAACACCGCGGATAGTAGTACCTTCAGAGCTGCGCAACCGCCGAAACTGAAAACGGCGACGACGAACAGAGAAAATGCAATGCAGAAATTCATAGCTAAAATTTCACAATCCGCACAGAAGATGAGTAGAAATTAGGATCAAAATAGAAAAACCAAAACCTCAGATGAAATTATGCATTCATTCATATGTACACGGAGAAATACGTATTCATGTATGTAGTGCATGTGTGTAATGCATACCTCTTTGGCCGGGAAGGACTCTAAGAATTGCACAGGACTATCGGAGATATTCTGTACGGGAGAGACGGAGGGAGAAGATGAAAATGAATGAACGCGACACGAAGCAAATTCAAGAGGGGAAACCGTTAATCCCCGCGCTAATTCTCTATATGAAGGGATTACTCCGTAATTTTCTTCTCATTAATCTTTTAAAACAAAAAATTGCACTCCTTCATCCTTTTTAAGTTATAAGAGAATTCGTCCTACTTGTAAATAGTAATGAGAATTACAATTCTATTTTCTTTTTTAGTAGGTCATGCTCACTTATTGTCCTACTTATTACTTGTTAATAAGAAGAATTTTTGTACGGACAAAAAATATATATAATTTTTCATTTTTAAAAATAATCCACTTATTTTTTCCTTTCCACTATAACCAATAGGAAGGAATACACTCTTAGGGACAACTTAAGCAAATTTCATCTACCAACTAAAGTCACAAAACTCAAATTTATTCAATATACACCGTCAGATAATAGTTGCGCGTTTTCCTCGTCACTAAAAAAAAAAATACAAATAACAACCCAATCGAAGAATATAGCGAAAAAAGCAGGCCAGATTAATTATCAGTATTCAGCCTAAAGTGGTAATCATACAATTGCCAAACATCCTATCATTATTTGGATGAAGTCTTTGAGGCATTGATGATAACATATCCATATATCATACAATTTTGCTCAAGTACCACTACACCATAGCCTCTGCTACAATAGAGTAAACAATTAGCAAAGCAGACTTGGCTGAAAAGATGGGCATGCAAAACAGTTTTGTTTATGGTGGAATTTGTTATCCAACATCAATCAGTTTGTTCTTGTCCTTGTTCTGCCATAGATTTGGTGGCACTGCTAAGTCTGCTATTACAATGCACTATTGCAGTGAGGGACAAGCATGGCAACACACTCTGCTCATCATAACTCTGTTCAGTTATTCCAGCAATGCAGTGCAGTTGCTCATTTGTATTGAGTTAGAAGTCTAAGCAGCCACTCTCTGGCTTCGGCATGGAGTGCGGGGATCACATTCTAAACACACCATATTTGGTACTCTGTGGACCCCGGTTCATAGATGCAGAGAGGGAGAGGCCTAAGATTTTCCTCGTGTCTGCTGGATCAATTACACCGTCATCCCAAAGTCTTGCTGTAGAGTAATACGGATCACCCTCTCTGTCATATTTCTCTTCAATTTTTGCCTTGAAACTTTCCTCTTCTTCCTTTCCCCACTGCATAAAGTGCATTGTTAGCTGTTGCTCCAAGCACACAGATTATGTACAAAATATTATGTTATACCTCAATTCCCTGCCTTTTCTTGTTGGCCTTTTCTATCTGAGAGAGTACACCGGCAGCCTAAAAACATGGTAGGACGTAAATAAATCAGATCTATAAGCTTAGTTCCAGATATATAATGTGGAGAAGTTTTCTTTGGTGTATGAAAGAAAGGTTCAATCGGTAGAGGAGAATTTTTAGTAATGATATATATAACCTAGTAAATCCAAATTTCACAAGAAAAACAGACTAGAGGGAATACAGTCAAAGTAGCATTAAATAAAGCTGAATGGAGAAATATAATCCATAAAGCTGACCCTAACTAGAAATGATTAAGCCTTAGTTGAGTTGAATTGCAAAAATTTCAATTTATGTCATACAGATATGCAATTTGTATTAAGGTGGACCTTAATAGGAGGGAGATTTGGATATATATGAATAAAGTGACAAACAAATAGTCAAGAATTCAATATTCCAAACGTGTCCATATGAAGTAAGATTTAGATGATCCTATGCATAGAAATTGAGGCTACCTGAGCACCTCCCATTACTGATATTCTAGAATTTGGCCAGGTGAACATGAAATCTGGACTATAAGCACGTCCACACATTGCATAGTTGCCAGCACCAAAGCTTCCGCCAACAACCACTGTAACTTTAGGGACCTATTGCAACAAACAATTGCATGAAATTGACACTTAAGAGTTTTTATGTGCTCTATCTTTCTATCATTCAATGCATCAACCAAAAGGAAAATTGATAACTAAATTAAATTGATTGCTGGCACAACCAAAGCCTTTGACCTTTGTGAGTGTGTCTGAGGAATGTAACTTCTAGCTACTCAAATCGAAGGACAGATAGAACAATCTTGAACATAAACACTAACCTTTGCACAAGCTACTGCCATCACCAATTTAGCTCCAGCTTTTGCTATTCCATTTGCCTCTGATTTAGAGCCAACCTACCAAATTTATTAGCCTTATTACTTTATGATCTGCTAAAACTTTATGAAAGGAAAAAAAAATCACAGAAAGCACACATGTTTAAAAAACCAAAAACAAAAAAAAAGGCCTAATGCAAGATGTTCGTGATGAGAACTATCAAGATGAAATTTATCACAGTATCAGTATCAGAAGCCATCAAATTGTGTATTCATCTGTGACCTAAAAGCATTAACTTTTGAAGTAATACATTTGGAAATAACTACTAAAAAAAATATAAATGAACTTGTCCCATCCTCTTAGTCATATACAGTTTCAACTACACATGATGTGATGGAACAGACCTTTACAGAGTAATGCACATTCCTAAATCCTAATGAGTCAATAAGAAGTAGTAGTAGAATATATAGAAGCAAGCTACATTTTTTGGTTGTGTGACTACACTTCATTTATTGAGACTTAAGAGAATGTAAGTTGGCTGAGTTTGCTTTTCATAAAAGTGAATCAGTTGGGTTGAAGCAAAAAGGTACTAGAAAATTATAGAACTACTACAATTGAAAATAGAATAAGCTTACCATAAATCCTGTGATATTTTGAAGAAAGATCAAAGGAATGTTACGCTGACTGCATAGTTCAATGAAGTGAGCTCCTTTTAAAGCAGATTCATTAAACAATATCCCATTGTTTGCAATGATTCCCACGGGATTCCCATAGATTCGCCCAAAACCTGTTACAAGTGTCTGTATAAAAGAAAAACAATTACTCTAATGCAAGTCCTTGAGAAAAAAAAAAAAAAAAAAAAAAAGAATTGCTAGGTAAATTTTTAAAAAATTGAAAGCAAAGACGGGGCCTCACAGTGCCATATAGTTTCTTGAATTCATCAAATTCACTTCCATCAACAATGCGAGCAATTGCTGCTCTTGTGTCAAAAGACTGCTTGAGGTTCGTTGGTGCGATGGAACGAAGTTCTTGCACATCATACAATGGCTCTTTGAAATCAGTTGGGGAATAAATTGACCCTTGTTGGCTTCCAGCCAGGTGAAAATTCTTAACAATGTTCCTTCCGATAGCAAGTGCTTGGAGTTCATCTACAAGATACACATACCACTATCTCCATAAGGGACGAAAGAAATAGAGTTGATATTGACCAGACACTAACTAGCCCAAGTTTTCTTCAGAAATTAAGAATATGGCAAAAATATTAAGTGGATATACCTTGGGCAAAGTAGTCAGAAACACCCGATGTTCTGCAATGTACATTTGCACCACCAAGATCTTCAGCTGAAATTACCTCTCCAGTGGCAGCCTGTATAAAAGGTTTCCTTTTAGGTAGAGCATATGCATATAAAAAAGCTTCAGAAGCATAGATAATGGAAAAAATTAATTGTGCTTGTGTGTGTGTGTGTATAAGTGGCATGCATAAGGTGAAAGATGCTTCTTACCACCCCCCCCCCACCCCCACCCCTGCCGCCCAAAAAAAAAAAACATTTAAAATAAATGTTGCTGCTGAATACCAGATTGATCTAAACAGACCTTTACAAGTGGAGGTCCAGCAAGAAATATGGTGCCATTTCCTTTGACCATCACACTTTCATCAGCCATTGCAGGTATATAAGCCCCACCAGCAGTACAAGAGCCTAACACCAGTGCAATCTGAGGAATACCTTCAGAAGACATCACGGCCTGATTGTAGAATATTCTGCCAAAATTCTCCTTATCAGGAAAAACCTCAGCTTGTTTAGGAAGGAAAGCACCTCCACTGTCAACAAGATATAGACAGGGTAGTTTGCATTGTGCAGCAATTTCTTGAGCTCTCAGATGTTTCTTGACTGTGATGGGGAAATAAGTTCCACCTTTGACAGTAGGGTCATTTGCCACGAACATGCAAAGTCTTCCATGCACTGGTCCTATTCCAGTAATTATTCCACCAGAAGGTAATGGATCCTCATATAATTCATGGCCTGCAAGCTAAATTCGTATACACATTGATTCAGCAAAAGCAAACCCAATTTACTCATCCCTCATCTATTTAATTCAAGGCTAATTGCCTGAATTTTATCTAAAGTTTACTATAAGCAGGAGGCATACAACTCAAAATTTAACAACTACAATTGGTTCTCTCCAACACTTCAACACAAACACTCAAGATAACAATTCTGTGCTTATGGCACTAAATCATGGTGCTTTTATATATGTACTTGAGGTCCAAAGAAGCATTCACTCAAATAACTATCATATCAAAATTATTTTAAATTACTTCGAGACGAAAAAATGTTAAAGTTCAGCTGAAATTAACTGGAGAAAGCTCTAGGAACGAAGAACCAGGGTCGAGCAGACGATCGATTCTCTCTCTCGGAAGAAGCTTATTCCTGCTTCTGTTTCTCTCAACGGCCGCCGGTCCTCCTCCTTCGGTCACCTATAAATTTGTCATGCCATCAAATTCAGTTCACATGAACAAAACGATAGATTTCTTATTAAGTATTCTACAGAGAGATAGAAATAGAGGACCTTCCGGATATGAGAGTGAAGCTGGGAGACGAGATCGTCCATGGCCTTGGAATTGCTGGTAAATACATCGGAGCTCCGGTCCAGCGTGTCGGGGAGTACTCCTACGGAGAAAGTTCGGGCGGTGGGAATGGTGATCGGAAGGGATTCCCGCCATGGAAACCAGTATCGTGAAGCTGACGGCGATGCTCTCCGAGCTAATATTCCGAGCATTTTCGCTAAATTCGTATCCTCCTGTCCTCTTAACGTCTCCCCCTTCTTCCCAAATCTACACTCCTTTCGGACTGATGTGAGTGTAATTTTAATTTTTCTCTATCGATACCTCGATCAAATCACTTTAAGCTATTTATAGTTTACATAAATATATAAATTGATCAGTGGATAAAATTCTGTAACAAATTAAATTATTATCAATATTCTTTTAATTAAATATATTGTATATTTAATTTACCTCTTAGGTATAATTTATTGATTATTATAACACTAACAAATTTTATTAAACACATACTCTTAAGTAATAATTATGATTTTCTGGTCACCTAATTGCAATGAATTAGAAGAAACGTAGATGATAAAGCCTTGTCATATCCACTGTGGAATGCTTATCTTTTTCTCTATTATTTATTTATTTATGTATTATTATTATTATTCAAATAATAGAAAATACATTAAGTTGGTGCAATGGATAATACCTAATTAGATATCTCCAACTATGAAGATAAGCAGATGATAAAAGAAAGAAAAATTACTATAATGGAGGAGAGATTTATGTTTAAAGAGAACTGTTTATTCAAAAATAATTCATAAAGCGTGTCACAAAGGACAACACGCGCCAATCACGTGATCCGTGTTGTTCACGCGCCACAAGAGATTCACATGTGGTAATTTTCATGGTTCTGTTTTTTTAAGGTATACTGCTCAAAGACATATTCTAAAATACTAATTATTCTCGTTCGCATAGTAACTAGTAAAGTAGATAAGAAGTACTTTATTATATGTTATTTTGATTCAATTACATAATTTTTTTCCCCGATTTTAAGATACTTTGTTAAAAATAATTAAATTCAAATTCTTGGTCAATTTAATGAGTTCAGTTTTTCCCCATTTTTACAATATCAAATTAGCTTACTAATTTTGTATGCAATTGGGTTAATGGGATTGGTTTTACTTTTACAATTACAGTACGGCGAGGCCTTTGTAAAAATTATCAAAAAATTATATGAAAATATCTTATAATAATTAATTAAAAATGTTCTAATAACATTATCTATCGGTCCAGAAAAACAAATTAAAGATCAGCCGCGCTCTCTCCCGTCCGGCGGCGCGACTCGTTAGTCTCCGTTCACCGCAAAGTCCCGAAACTTCCTTTGCAGACGGAGGAGTATAACGCGAATTCAAGAATGAAGTCGATATCACCACCACTCTCACGTTGTACTCCCAAGTTCTTATTGCCCATCTTCACCTCACCTTCTCAGTCTCCACCTTTCATAGTCGCCGCCGCCGCCGCTCAGCCGCGAAAGGCAACCACTTCAAGACGCTCTTCAAGGTCAACTAAAACCCGAACTCCTAGTCCCACGTTAGAGCCCGTTGCAACTCCGCCCACAGAAGCTTCCACCCCTAACAAAAAGGTGCCATCTTTGCCTATTTGCCTACCAAAATTGTTGTTTTCTTCTGCATTTATTTAATGAAAACTTGAATTGGTTGTTGCATTTTTCCTTAAATGCGTATTCTTGGAAATTGTAGGTTCTGGTGCCGATTGGCTTTGGGACAGAAGAAATGGAAGCTGTGATAATGGTGGATGTTCTGCGCCGGGCTGGTGCTGAGGTGACTCTGGCGTCTGTGGAACCGGAATTGGAGGTTGAAGCTTCTGGGGGCACTAGGCTTGTTGCTGACACGCTAATATCTGCTTGTTGTCATGAAGTGTTTGATCTTATTGCTTTGCCAGTAAGTTGTTTCAACACTCTATAATGGGCAGTCTTTGATGAATCAAACTTATACACGAAAGTAATGAGAGAGTTTCTAAGTAGTGATACATGCATAGCTTCATAGAAACTTCGAAAATAATTCAGGGACATCTGCAAACTAATGGAATGCAAATTTGAGCTTATGACTCATGCTTATTGTTAGTAATAGGAATTGAATTGCTCTTAAAAGTACTTGTTCTCAACAGAGACTGAGATTGATCTCACATCACTGGTCCAGGGTGGAATGCCGGGCTCTGTGCGTTTGAGAGATTGTGAAATTCTCAAGAACATTATGAGCAAGCAAGCTGAAGAAAAACGGCTATATGGGGCCATATGTGCTGCTCCAGCAGTTACGCTGTTGCCTTGGGGCCTTCTTAGGAGGAAACAGGTATCTTTGTTTTGGATTTGCACATTTTATTTTACATGCTTCTTTGCTTGCTAATTGACACGAGGTTTGAATGGCCAGACAACGTGTCATCCTGCATTCATGGACAAGATTCCTAGCTTCCGGGCTGTAAAGACTAATATCCAGGTGTCCGGTGAGCTAACAACAAGCCGTGGTCCTGGTACATCTTTTCAGTTTGCCATCACTTTAGTGGAGCAGTTGTTTGGTGAAGCTGTTGCCAAAGAAATTGGAGAAGTATTGGTGAGTGGACGAGAAATCAGTATAAATGTCTTTTCAGTTTGCTTCTACCTTTCATTCTTTTAAGGATCTTGTCCATACAACAAATACCTTAGATATATACAAATTTGATTGTCGAAGGAATTTTGTTCCTTTTCCTTCGTTGTTGCAGTTAGTGAATGGTCATGATGAAGATCCTAGAAAACAAGAATTCAACGAGGTTGAATGGTCTCTTGATCATACTCCTCAAGTAAGTATGCTGTCAAATGGTTTATTCTTTCAATCACAATCTGTGTTTATTACTAAAGTTCCTCTTTCGTAATCAGAATGGTTATTTACACTGCAATTTTTTTTATAACTGCATTGGCTCTTTCCCCGCACCCTTCACATTGACAAGGAACTAATACCTCGTTCCCTGAAATCTTTCTTCTTAATTGTACCAGGTTCTTATTCCAATTGCAAATGGATCTGAAGAGATTGAAGTGGTTACGGTCATAGATATCTTAAGGCGGGCAAAGGTCAATGTTGTGGTAGCATCGGTTGAAAAATCTGCAGTAATCTTGGCATCAAAAGGCGTTAAGATTGTGGCAGACAAGTTGATTGACAGTGCAGCTGAGTCGATGTATGATCTGATAATCCTGCCGGTGAGTATATATTTCTCTCCTAATCTGTTGTCACCAGTTTAGTACCAGGAAGTGGTTTGCAAAGGTTCTTTCATATCTACTCAACATTTTAGGCCCTACTTGTACAGAACCAATGGCATACATAGTTATTTTGTCATACATTGATATGTTTGAGTTTGTGCGTCTAATTATATGCAAACATATCACTCGCTTTACCTGAAAAGCCAATCCCTTCATTCAAGACATCGTTTATTCCTTCACTCAGGGAGGAGAAGTTGGAGTTCAGCGGCTTCAAAGGTCGAGAACTCTGAAGAAGTTGCTAAAGGAACAAGAATCGGGTGGAAGAACATTTGGTGCCATGTGCTCTTCATCACCTATAATACTGCAGAAACAGGGTTTGCTCAAGGTAGGATCGAGCACCAATCATTATTGTGTGAACCATGGTCCACACAGCTGTGTGGACCATACTATCAAATAATGTACATTCAGTATACAAATAATATACTTTTAGTATATTAAAAATGTACATTGTATTCAGAGAAAGTACATTATTTGAGTATTGAAAATCCATTATTTTGTATAATGTACATTCAGTACACGAATAATGTACTTTTAGTATATTAAAAATGTACTTTTTGTTATTGTCCACACAGTAATTTGCCATCGAGCACATAGTTGATCTCAATTTCTCATACTTGGACCAAACTGCAAAACTCACATTTTTATTTTTTTTTTTGAAAGCAGGCCAAAAAATCCGCTGCTCATCCCTCCATCGCCATGAGCAAGCTCGACGATGTTCCAAATGGTGCCCGGGTAGTTGTTGATGGTAAACTGATCACAAGCAAAGGGCTTTCTACTGCAATAGAATTTGGACTGGCCATTGTAAGCAAGTTCTTCGGGCATGCAAGAGCGAGGAGCGTAGCAGAAGGTCTTGTTTTTGAGTACCCGAGGAACTAAGAATTCCAGTTCTTTAGCAGCAAAACCGTAAATGCCACTCAACAAGGCGCTCTCGAGGTCACTAAAGAAGATCAATCTAGCAACAGCGGCAACAACATTGGAAGCTAAGGTAAGAACCAAGTTCCATGTAAATTTTTGCCGATAAATACCTGGAACATGGCATCATCTTGCTCTCAACTAACTATTAGTGGCCAGTCGCCACCATTGTTGTCTGAAAGTATGCTCACGAAACCGACAACAGGAACATCATCATGAAAATGTCATTGAGATATCTGTTGTAATTGAACATTATATTTGATGAAATTGTACATTATATGACTTTACAAATCATGTTCTTTTCACTTGCATAGACTGAAATTAGTTTATTGTGGAAGAGAAAGTAAAGTAATACAATATAATGATGTTGTTGCATTGTCTATGCCAAAATTCCTTCTTCTTTTTTTTTTTTTTTTTTTTTTTTTTTTTCAATTTTAGATTGACTTAAATTTCATAAAAAGATACTTATTTCCCTATATAAATATGTAAACTATATAAAAATATATTTTGTTGCAAAATTTAGAAAAGGAAGATAAATAGAAAAAATTTAAATAAGGGAATGAGAAATTTTTGTCCCCGAATATTTCTCGTACGGAGGAGGAAAAATATTTGGGGTCGGGATATGCCCCAAATATACCCCACTCGATTGTCATTCTTATAATAAAATTTATTTACATATATGGTATCATTAGATATTTTCAAAAAGGTTGAAGTAAAGAAATTAATTTTTAGGTTGACCATATTTCTTAAGAAGTAAAAATATTAACACATGATTTTATTAGAAAGAGAAAAGAAAATAAATAAAAATAGTTATATCACTCGAAATAATGACACATGTTTATTGTGCATCAATTTATTCAAATGACAACATTGTTACATAAAATATCGATTTTTATTCACAGTAACATAAAATATTCTAATTGATTTTTAAATAAGTTATACGGAGTAATTTTTATTTTTTTTTTTCCTTTTTGAGAATTGATTATTATTATTATTTGAAAAATGTTTGATAAATAGAGTAATGGTGTACGTTACACAGTGTGTAAACTGTAAAGTAGTCCTGAATGACCTGGGAGTGTAGGGCCATCCAGCCGACCTCCAGAATCCAGAGTCCAGTCCAACTGAATTTCGCATATTTCGAATATTTCGAATGTTCCAATCCCATATTCCCATACATCCTCGTAAGACCTACGAAGACCGAACTCTTTATATACCACCCGGCACCCGCTTTACAGGTTTACCCCTACACCCCAACACTACGGCGGCGATGTCAGAACGCGAAGCTCCTCCGCCGCGGCGTCTCCTCAAGCAACAAACGTGGTCTCCCAACATGTACCGCGAGGAGACTTGGGTCCGGCGGCAGGGGAATAGCAACCGCCGCCGCCGCGACAGATGCAAGAGCGTCACCGACGACGACTTGGATGAACTCCGCGGGTGCATCGACTTGGGGTTCGGCTTCCACCCGGAGCCCAACGAATTGGATCCGAAACTCGCCCAGACTTTTCCGGCTCTGGAACTCTTCTGCGCCGTTAACAAACAGTACAACGAATGCCTGTCGAGATCCTCGTCCACGTCGAACATGGCGTTGTCAATGTCGGATACCGATACTACGACAACGACCACGACGACGCCGTTGGCGGGAAGTCCTGCGCCTAGTTCGATGTTTGATTTAGGTAAATTAAAACATTAATCGTCGATGTCGATTCTTCTTTCTTTCTCGTTGTTACTGCATTATCTGATATTATTATTGGCCCGTTTTCTGTTTGGGAATGATGAAGGCGAAGATCCAGAGACTGTGAAGGCTAAATTGAAACAGTGGGCGCAGGTGGTGGCTTGTTCGGTGCGCCAATCTTCGCCAATCCCATAACTACAAAAAAGTTTGTCCTAGGGCCCGCTCTCGAAGTTTCGAGGATATTAAGGAGGAAAATGTTGGTTATTTTTTTTAATTTAGAAAATGGTAGATCGATCAATTCAACATTCCTGTACAGCATCAAACATTTTCACAACTCAGACAATTAGCTTAAACATTTTAATGGAAATGCTGGTATATGGTAGATTGGTAGGGATAGAAATTTCTTATATTTGTCAAAATTTTATTATTAAATGTGGTTTCTTAAATTAATTTACTGTTTAGGATTATTATCTGCATTCCACCATCATAGGGAATGATTGGTTTGTTGCAATAATCTATTGGTTTAAAATTTAAATTTTACATCACAATATAATATTATACCGTTTATATTTTAAAATATCAAGATTACTTAGATTTATGTCAAATGAAATGCACATATAGCAATATATAGGATGGTGATGAAATCATAATGAACGGTAAGTAAAATAGACGTTGAGTTAGGTAAGTAAATCAATCTTTTTAAAAAATGGTAAGCAAATCAACTGTTATATATATACCGTTATATATATATATATATATATATATATATATATATATATATATATATATATATATGGATGAATTTAATAAATTAGACTAAAATTTGAGTAGAGAAAAGACACTATAATTTATTGGGTCACACTTGTGTGTGACGGTATCATAATTTCTTATCCGTGTGGTGGATCATGTCAATATGCAAATGTAATACTTATACTAACAAATGTAATACTAAATTAGGAATAAAATGTTTGTTACTTAGGAAAACATAATACATTTGATGATAAATGCAATACTAACAAATGTAATACTAAATTAGGAATAAAATATTTTTTGTTACTTAGGAAAATATAATACATTTGATGATAAATGCAATACTTTTGTATTTTGATGTAAAATATTTTTTTTAACAAAAGTATTATATTTAATTTGTTCCTTAGAAGTAATGTTGAACTTTAAAGGAAAATATAATATTTTTACATCAAAGTGTAAAAGTATTACATTTTTTTATATAAATATCAAATATTTTATTTATAATTCAGTATTAAATTTGTTAGTATAAGGAAAAATGGTCAAATTGCTCCCCTAAGTTAATTGGATAATGCAATTGGGTTCCCGAGTTATAAAAAAAATAATAAAAAAAAAATTAAAAAAAAAAAAAAAAAAAAAAAAACTACATTCAAGCCCTCTAAACCAGTAAAAATTGTTCAATTGAGTCCAAATTAACTTACTTAGCATCTTAAATCTATGCAGTGTTGACACGTGTCTTTTTTATTTTATTTTTTAAACAATTTTTTATTTAATAAGAATTAAAATATTACTTAAAAAATAATAGCCACACGAGTTATCCGCGACGAACAGCCAGTAGCTATCTTCTTCACGAACAACCGTGGTTGTCTGGCAAGGACATCCATGACCGTCTTCTAGAACGAGGGCGACAGTCATGGCCACCGCCTTCAACAAAAGCCACACCTCCCAACCCATTTTCTACAGTTTCGCTTTTGAGAGGAGGAAGAAGCTCTAGAGAAGAATAGCCATTGCGGTTATTCTCATTCTCATCCTCCTCATTGCCGTATTTTGTGATCATGAAAAAGGACGACGACCATAAAAAGTCAGGGACGAAATCCAAGACCAAGTTGTTGTACTCGGGGAAATCCGGTGATAAGTCCGTCAAAGCATTGTGTCACGGGACGGATTTCGAGGACACGTGTGAGCATACCCTGTCGAAGGCGGTGGAGGATGACACCTCCGCCACGAAAAAACACAAGGAGATTCTCAAGGTTTCAATGGTGGCGGTGGGGGATGATAGGCGCAGAAGAAAGTGTTGTCGCAGGAGCGCAGCGCTCCTTAAAGACAATATGGCCGTCGCCCTCGTTCAAGATCTAGAAGACGGCCATGGCTGTCTACCTTAGTTGGCCATGACTGTCTTCCTTAGACGGTCGTGGTTATCCTTGCCGGACAGCCATCGCTGGTTGCGGTGACTTTTTTGTTTTTTTCCTTTATTTCTTTAGAGTAATATTTTAATTTTTAATAAATAAAAAAATTGTTTAAAAAAATAAAATAAAAAGGACATGTCAACACCACGTAAATTTAACCTGTTAAGTAAGTCAATTTAGACTTAATTGAATAATTTTATCCGTTTAGAGAACTTGAATGAAGCTTTTTCTTTTTCTTTTAGGTCTCCAATTACATTATAACTTAGGTGAATAATTTGACCATTTTTTCTTAGTATAAATATTACATTTCATATTTGTTTGACCCGCTTGGTATCACACAAATTTTTGCCCATTTTATTTTATTCAAAAATTTTAAAAAGTTAAAAATGATTGCCGGGCAAGTAAATGAATAGTGAAAAAAGTGCAAGTACGGAGTATATTCCACCTTTATCCGGAACCGGTGGCCGGAAGCGTACGACTGGCGTGGATTCACCTCCTTATAAGGAAACGCCACGTGTTTTAACAGCTACTAGAAACCAGCAGCACTGACGAAACTATCTTCGCTGCCGGGAAAAGAAAAAATATCTGGCTGACAATTTCGGAAGATATTATCAGCGGTGATGACCTGGCAGTGTCCCGCTTTAACTGCCACGCGTAAAAGCGTAGCCATGTGGAGTTTTCACTGACCCACACCCATTCACTCCTCCACCTTCAAACCAGGAAAAGAAGAGTTGAAAGCCGCCCGCAGAAAAGAGGGTTTTGCGTTTCTACCGCGAATTTCGAGATTTGTTTGTGGTGCGTTCAGAATCTACACGGCTCCAGACGGGAGGGAGATGGAAGGAAGACGCCGCACGGCGTCGCCGTCGCCTGCTGAAAATCTGGCATCTTCAGCTAGTTTCACGACTCATTCGAGCTATGACGCGTCCTCTTTGACCGTCGAGAATTCCGAAGAAGTTTTGTATCGAAGTGTAAGTGGAGGATTTGTAATTCTCTTTTCACTGATTATATTACCTCTAACTAGTGTGTTTTCGCTGCTTTAGTTAGGTCTATACATAGATGTCCTTAAAGGAATTCCTAGATGTATTGATTAATGCTAGCAGGGTTCTGCAGATCCTCAATATTAAACTGATTTACAACTTTGTTCAATTTTTCAAGTGTGTGATCTTAATACACTATGGTGTGACTGTGTGCTCTGTGTTGTTATTGTACTTTATTTTCTGGTGAAATGACTAGAGCGAACAGCAGAAGGATTTCATGTTGCTGTAGAGGAACTGGAAGAAGAAATTACGGAGTATAAATTATTGATTAATCTAAAGAACAGGTTCTTATTTCAATGTGTCATATCACCTAGCTGTGTTTGGTTTTTGGTTGACCTCTGTTCCGAATCTGATTATTGAAACATCTTTCTTGTATCTCTGCCAGTGAAAGAAGTGAGGCAAATTGGTAGCAAATGGATGGTTAAAGCATGATTCAGCTGTGAAATTTTTTACTCTCTAGGTTGCAATTTATCCTTGTAGGACATATTTCAGCGAAGCAGATGGTTAAAAGCTTCTAGATTGTGATTTATAGTTGTACCACTTATTTTAGTTATTTCTACTGCAGGTTTGAATAAAACTTCAATATCCTTTTTCTATAGCATGCCTCTATGTTTTCCCTGCATTTTTGTTTATGGCAGGCTGGCAGCCAGGCTGTGTGTCAGTGTTTGAGGGTTGGATTTATCAATTGAACAGTATTTAATACCTGCCTATGAGTTTCCAGTGCTGCATTTCTGATTTTAGTGTTGCACATGACATGATGATCTAGGGTCATGCAGATGCTGTACTCCACCCTTGAACTGCTTCCGCAGAATGTAATCTCAGAAAAGCAGTTTTTTTTCCTGGCTGGAAGCGTCTAAATGACCAATAAGCTAATATTTATGGGAATTATTTTGAATGACATAGAAACTCCAGCAGATGTTTTGCACATTGTTACAATTATTTGGCTGTTGGTAAATGCAGAATCATGGCATTTAAAGTGGTGACTGATCATTTATTACGGTTTCGCTTGTTAAATTCACTTTCTATATCAGTATACGCGTTAGAGTTGTAAGCTGCTCCAATGTCATGCCACTTGTAGATGTATGATGTGTAATGTGTTAATGGGGTTTTTGTGATTGAAAGGAAAGTAAAAAATACACACTTGCAGCTCATGTCCCATTATTATCTTAACATCTTTGAAAATAGATGTAAGTTAGCAAGCATCTTCCCTCCCATTACATAGATCTTGCACGATGCGACTGTCTTGTGGACTGAATCTGACCTTTGTCCTAACATTTTAATGATGTAGATTGTAGGCATTGAGTGATTTGTTAAATAAACTGACATAAATGATCATACAAGTACTATGGTTACAGCTTCTTCCTTTTAAATAAAGGAAAAATAATAATAATTTATTTGTTATCATGCAGATGGCGAAGTTTCTTTAGCATTCATTCAATCCTTTATCTCATGTATCCAGCTAGTTTTTGTTGTTCTATGTGACATTTCAATTTTGGACTTTTGGATTTTTGAATTTCACTTCAGGATGATTGTGCCAGATGGACAAATGAGAAACACAACTTATTTCTTAATCTTCTGGAGGCATCATTTGTTAAGAAGATGCACAAGTCAATGACCTTACACTCCCAGTACCAGGAGCAGAATAAGGTTAATAGAAGTTTGTCTCATAAGCTGCCTGCCAAAATTAACCGAGTTTCCAAGCAGGTGCGAGACCTAATTTATTAAAGTTTCTGGGACTTGCCTTTAACTACTATTAGGAAAAATTATTTTTACTCCCTAAATTCTGACACTACTATCATTTTGGTCTCTTATACTTGAGAACTAATATGAAAAAGATTCTGCTTGAACAAGATTATATTTTTCTATTTCCAGCTTCCTGTTGTACAAGATTGCCATTGGCACAACATTGAAAGAGATTTGGCTGATCTTGATACTGCACCAATTTCCCATGGTTCCTTCAAAGATCAACAGATTTATCCTTTTAGCCATTCTGGTTAGTACTGTACAGACTTGCGTAACTCAGTGTGAAGCTCAACTCAACTCTGTGCCCTGCACTTTCTCTAGCTTTAGGATTCTCGGGTTTGGTGTATAAGCTACGGAGTATAAAAAATTCTTTTAATGCATGGCTTCCAAATTTTATAAATAGGGTCAGACAATTAGAATCTAAGACAAAATCCAAATCTTAAATAGGGTCAGACAATAAGGAGGCTATTTTCAGGTTGC